TTTTATAAAAAACGAACACTATGCCATTGTTCCTTCTTACTCTTTCAGAGTGCTCGGAACAATTAATGCTGTATTTATTGGTTTTAAAAGGCTGAATATGAATATCAACAGAGGCGAAGCTTCGCTTTGCACACACTAGTGAAAACACGTAGAAATAAGCCTCGCGAAAACAGAGTAGAAATAAGCCTGGAATTAGTTAAAATTCCGCTACGTCTTGGATTTGATCTGCGACCTACTGCGATTTAGAAATTATGAGTAAAGTTGGCAATGTACTTACTAGTACCACCTAAAACTGGCACTGTACGTACCGGTACCTAGCTAGTAGTACATATACTGGTACCACAAAAAAGGACTTCAGGCTAAAAAAAAATTGTTTCGAAAAACTTTTATTCGGAATTGATATTGAGATAATTGATTTAATCAACATCAAGTAGAAAAGATTTAAAACCCTGAAAACGCGATTAGCAATTTTCCGATTTCCCGCGTTATCAACGAAAACTTTAATAGCCTAGCGAACACTGTCAAAAAGGCGTTCAATTTTCCGCGTAACCAACAAATAATTCACACAGAGGCGATGAATCGCTTCACAAAAACTCGCGAGAACACGACAAAAGAAGCTCTATAAACTATAATAAAAAAAAGAAAAAGGCCTCGAATTACTAAAAATTCGTCTATGTCTCGGACTCGATCTGCGACCTAGATAATATGAGTGTCACGCAGGGGCGGATTTACGGAGGGGGCAGGGGGGGGGCGGACGCCCCCCCTCAGGGATTCGACCCCCTGCCGCCCCAAAGGGTCCCCCCTTTGATACTTTTTCAGAAATCCATTTCAAAAAGTGCCGAAAAACGGCTTTTTTGACTGTTTTTTCAAAAATTTGCCTGCGGCGCAAAAAAATTTTGCCAAAATAGGGGCAAGACAGTGCTTTGGGAGAGCTCGAAAAGTCAATTTGGTCGACCTAAAAAAAAAGGCCAAAATTTTTGAAAATTTTTTGAAAATCCGCCCCCCCTCGAGAAAATCCTAGAGATCCGCCCCTGATGTCACGCACTAATCACTCGAACACGAACGCTTAATACATCACAATTACTAGCCACAAAAAAGCAGAACAGATGCGATGAAATTTCCAATGCTAGATTGTGATTATAGCATAACTGCCACCAAATAAAGGAACACTTTCCACTTTCAATCAACCTATTAATCGCTAGTAAGATTTTTAAAAAGAAGGTTCGTACTAATATACTACGCTGATCGCAAGTGTAAACAGCTTCACAAACACTGAGCGAAACCTAGGTAACAATTGACCTCCTTGTTGAAAAGTTACTAGTGCCTCTTAACAAGGGTACCGTACCGTACAAGAACATATACTAGTAACTCTAACTATGAGTCACACGGATTAACCACTCAGCCACGGACACTTAATGCACACAAACACTAGCCACAAATAAAGCAGAGAACAGATGCCATGAAATTTCCAATGCTACAGATCGTAATTTAAGCAAAAAAAGTCATCAAATAAGTGAAAATTTTTAATGAACACTTTTATTCGCGAGTTGGGTTAGAAAAAAGGTTCGTACGAATACACTAAGCTGATGACTACGTAACTACGTTTGGATTATATTTACTAATTCATTCGATGGGAGAAAAACAATTGAAAGAACTGAACAAACAACAAACTCGCTAAAACTTACAAGGCGGGAAGGGATAATGAGTTTTTTCAGGGTAGCCATTAGAGAGAAAGGTACTACTATTATAGAGTGGTCCCTCGAAAAAGCAACTATGATAGACAGGTCCCGCATGCATTTCACATGTTATATTTTTGAAAACTAGTTTGTTTATAAATTATTCGTTTCAAAAATCTGGCGAAATATGTTGAGTCAGAAACCTTTGATTAAAAATTGTAATTACTATAATTTTATATCAAGAAACTGCTCACTTCAAATTATTTTCGCGTTAAACAACCATAATTGGATTGGCTCATTTGTCATCAAATTTCGTAGACGGAACAAGTTTTTTTTTGAAAAGCTGACATGTTAGACTTCTTGAGCCAACAAAAAGCTCCAAAGCAACAATAGACAAAGATGAAAATCAAAGCAGCTGATGCAATTTATGCTGTCTACTACGTACAACTGAAGAAAACTAATTTTTTGATAACATAAAATACATAACAACTGTTGTTCAGAGATCAAAAACGCTATAGAAGTAACAATTGCTTTCAAGGGAATTTTATGATATTATCACGTGAGCCTTTCAATATAAAACACTGGAATTCAATTTGAAATAATAAGGGCAGGCAATAAAATCCATAAAGTTTAACTTTTTTGAAAAAATGAATTCGAAAATCTACATCACACATAAGCTTTTGCAATTAAAAAAACATAGGAACAATAGCTCTTTAGAACGATCTTAATTTCGCAAACTTTGCAATTTCTAATTTTGCGGCACTGGATATTTTGGTAAAACGTGCCAATAGCAAGCGTAACAATAAATTGAATAGATTAACAAACATAAAAAAGCTTTTGTTATAAATTAAACTTCCGAATAACAAATGAAACAGAGACTACCGGTTACTACTATGCATGGAGGAGCACAAAATGGAGTACAAAACAGTTAATTAGAAAAAACGACATTTTTCTCTATTCTGTTGCATGATGTGGGGAGAGAAAAAACTAAACGATTCTCAGAATATTAGTAATGCTTTTGATTGCTTAGCGATACTTTTGCAAAATGAACACAGAAGGAAGCGTAGCCTCGCATCACCTGCAATACAAAACATAAGCCAGTGGTGCTCAGGGGCCAAAAAGATGTTTTGAATCATCAAAAATATTTCAATACTAAGCACGACTTAGCCATTCTCTGACACTTTAATATTTCATTAAAGCTGATTTGGCAAACTCAAACATAGTTAACCGACAGTCGGAAAAGAGTCAATGAACAAGGACAGAGACTTATTTTAAAAAAAAAAATCCACTTCTGAATTTCAAAATGAAAAAAAGGCAAAATTGGCAAAATAAAGAAAACTTTTTATTCCGCTGGGAAATCTAAATATTGAATTCTACTTTCGAAACTAGAAGTTGCCTATCTGTAGTTATTAGAGCATTTTAAGACCTTTTCCTGAGCAAAAAAAAATCAGGAAGACCTAAACAGGAGTCTTAACTACGTTCATCGGCTCTAAACTAGTCAAAAGAATTATTTGTGAGAAATAGGAAAAAAAGTATGATTAAAAAAATGATTTCAAACTATTTGATCATCAGAGCTGAGAAATTTCCGGTAAAGTTCCCTTGGTTTCTTTCTTTAGCCTAAAAGAGAATAAAAAGACAAAACAAAGAATCCAAAAAGTCGTCTTAAAATCGTATATCACATTTTTTTCTTTAGCAGCAAAACTTCTAGAAACTCAATTACCTGCACCATTACAGGAAAACATCGAACGGATTTTAAATTGAAGCAAATTTTTCTTAAATACCTGAAAAAACCCTGGCTGTCGCCAGAAACCCGATAAAAAAGGAAAGTAAACGGCCGGCCAAAAATATATGTTTTTTTTTCAAGTTCAAACTTTCAGTTTGAAGAAAGAACGAAGAACGGGCCCTGACCTGCGCCTTCATTTTCCAAGGCATGGATAATTTCCCAAGCATATTGCGATACGTCACAAACGTAGCATGGATAGCAAGCTAGCCGACAAAAAAAATGTTTGAAAAAAAACGTTGAAAAAATAGATCTACCGAAGCTTTGAAAAAATTGCCAGAGTTGAATAAGCTTTGAAATTAAAATCATCAATTAAGCCGATAAACCTTAAATTAAGTAATTTATCCTTGAATGTTAAAAACGATCTCTTTAGATTATAGATTATTCGAAATTCAGACCCCCAATTTAGGAAACTAAGATCCACACCACTAGGCGACCGTTTTTTGACGTCTGCAAACGCTAGGCACCCATAAAGCAAAAGAACCATGCCATTAAAACTTTATATGCTATTCAGTATACAAGTGCTACCAAAACGAAAAATGAGCATTTAATTATGCCAGTTAGATTGGGAAAAAGTTGGCTCTTATTACAGCACAACGCTCGCAAGTTGTTGTTTAATAACAAAAAACTGTGTACAGTCGCATTTTCGAAAGCCCTATGAAACAAATTGACTCTAAAAATCAACGGATCAATATTTGTGGATAGGTTAAAAGATATCCAATAGAAGCAGTAGCGTGCCGATGGGGGGGGGGTCCGACCGCCCTTCCTCAATTCTGGCTGCAAAAATTTTCCAAAGGGTCCCCACTTTGGTATAACTTTATGACATCCATTTATCGATGAACAACCTCAAAATGTTTCTAGAGGCGCCTTTGGCGCCAATACGACTAATTTTGAGTGGGGAGCTCACGCGAAAAAAAAACCGCCATTTTTGGTCAAAATTTTCCAAAAAGTGCCTAAAAGCGCCTTTTTTAGGCCTGTTTTTTGAAAAATTTGCCTGCTATGAAAATCAAATTGGTCGACCTAAAAAAGGTCGAAATTGACAATTTAATGGACGAATTTGACCACTTCATTTTAGCAATTTAGTACATTCATGAACTACCTGTCTAAATGTACAATTCGAAATCATCAGACTAGAGCCAAACTGTATCTTTTAATTATCAAAGAAAACAAATACTAGCATACCTAGATTAAACATCCTGTAGAACTATTTCAAAATTATCTTTTACTCTACAACACACTCAAAAGCGTCCAAAGTTATCTTTAAACGATTTAACTAAATTCTGCCCCATTAATCCATTTAAGTATTTTTGAAACGATGAGTCAAATCCTTTTTCGACTTATTGTGCTTATTTTACTACTTGTACTTGTGTTCAAACCCAGTTCATGTGAACGATCATTTTTAGTGGACTGGGAAAACAAACAGTTTCTCAAAGATGGGGAGCCTTTCAGGGATCTTGTTAACTATTTTCCCCCTATATTACCTAGCAAATAATTGCCACACCTATAAAAAGCAGCGGTTAAGCATATGTGAACTTCGTTTCCCCCTTTTTGCTTGAAACGATTTTCCCCCCTTTTTACAATTTGGAGTGGGGGGATAGTTATCAGGACCCTTTTCCAGATACGTCTCTGGGAGTTTCCACTATTCGCGCACTCCTAGGAGTCAGTGGCAGGACAGACTGAGTAAAATGAAGGCGGGAGGTTTGAATGCGGTCCAGACTTACGTTATGTGGAATTTCCATACTCAAAAAGAAGGCGAGTATCGTTTAAGCTGAAATCCCTTTCACTCCAAAATCGACAAAAAGGTGATGAGCTGTCTGCTTTAAATAAGATATGAATACGGATCTCATCCGTAGCATATCTTTATCTCTATTATCACGAGCATCATGATAATAGTAAGCGTAGCCGAAAAACCCATGCGAAAGCGAACGAGTAAAACTTACACATCAGTAAATTACAGATAATTTCCTGGATAATTAAATAAATTAAAGGTGCTAGGATCGTTAAGCTACAAAAGAAAAGGGACGACAAACGACATACCCAACTCCTATATATACATCTTATGACTATTGAAACGTTTGAGACCTTACATTCAATTTTGGGCACAAAAATATTGCCTCGACCACAATCAACAGCAACTCTTGGTCAAACTGAAACTCATATCTATTTTAAAAAAACTGTTTTCGGAAACGGTGTTAACAGGAGTGTATGACTTCACTGGAGATCGTGACATCCAACATTTTCTGCAACTTGCCAATGACACCGGACTCCAGGTGATCCTGCGAGCAGGTCCCTACTCGTGTGCCGAGTGGGAATTCGGAGGGTTCCCTTGGTTCCTCAGACAAAATAGTGACGTCATTCTACGATCATCAGATCCCACCTACCTCTCCTACGTCGACGCTTGGATGGATGAATTATTGCCCAAATTGGAACCTTATCTGTACAACAATGGAGGTCCGATTATAACTGTTCAGTTTGAAAACGAGTATGGCAGTTACTCCATTTGTGACACGGCGTACCTGCAGCACCTGGTTCATAAGTTCAGAGAGCATCTGGGTCCAGATGTTGTTTTGTTCACAACGGATGGTAAGTTGATTGCTCTTATGTCGAGAGTTACAAGTAGCTTCTGTGGTTATTATTAAGAAATCTTTTTTATTTGCGCCGTCCCTAATCCCTCCTCACTATCTTGAAACTTGCTTCCGTGGGGGATGGCACTGGGCTCCTTCAATCGTCAACGCAGCGGGACTCAAACCCACGACCTTCGTGTTAAAAGCCGCGCGTCTTACTCACTCTGCCACAGCTGCTCTGTTTAGAAGCTCGTCTCCTTCGACAACGGGTTTTGCTTATTTTTGTTCTGAAAAATCTGAAAATTAAAATCCATTTTCGGAGAACTTTTCTGGAAAACAAAACGAAAAAATAATCATCAGCACCGAAATAAGAGTCTGCTGAACTACGTTGAATGAATTTTAAAAATGGTAAATCAGGCGAATCATCAGTGGCATACAACAACAATGAGCTTGTAAACAAAACGAGAGTAAATAACCAGCCGAAGTATAAACCAACCCAAAATGCGCGGAGTATATCAGCCAGCCGAAACGTTACGTCACATCAATGAAATTTGCATGACTTTCGTAACTGTTACATAATTGTTACATAACTATTATAAAACACTCACCTATTTTCGGCTGGTTTATACTTCGGCTGGTTTATACTTCGGCTGGTTTATACTTCGGCTGGTTTATACTTCGGCTGGTTTATATGCCACCTACAAAAACGTTGCGCTTAACCACCTGCAAAAACGCTTTTGTGCATTGGATGTCTGACAAGGGTATAAGGATAGTCGAGTACTTCCTATGTACTACTTCAAGGAGTCTTCGCCTCTTTTAGGATACTCAGCAGTCTATCTCGAATGTGGTGCTCTCAAATCCGAACTGGTCACTGTGGACTTTGGCCCTGGCGGGGATCCGGCAAAAGAGTTCGAGGACAAAGAGAAGTTCCAACCATATGCACCACTGGTCAATTCCGAGTTTTACACTGGTACTAATCAATTGATTTTCAAGTGTTGTAATAGAAATAACGTTGTGTTGTGATTGAAGATTAAAAGAAAAAAAAACAACGTTTTTACTCTTCACTGTTGATTTTAAAATGTTGCATTACTTTGATGAGAAAGAAATTGCTCCAGAAATAACGTTATTTTGGAATTAAAGATTTTGTACGAAAAAAAAACAATGTTTTTAAATCCCTATTTAGTTCTATTTATTTTATTCACAACGAAAGCGATTGAAAACATCAATAGCATTAAATCAAAGCTATGCCCATTCGATAACTAGGTTGTTCTAATGTCTAAATCCTCGTCAAACTAATTATGGAACCAAATATGACAAGTCCGAGTGTTGTTTTTAAGGCTGGCTAAACCAATGGGGTTATCCTTTCACATACGTCTCCGCAGACTCCGTCACTGAAACACTGGACCAAATACTCGCTCTCAACGCCTCAGTTAACTTCTACATGTACGTGGGTGGAACGAACTTCGCCTACTGGAGTGGCTCCGTTCCAGGTACCTTTCTTAACTCGAAGTTTCTCATGACGAAGTCGATCTGAGCGCGCCTCTTATTCGGTATTTTTGCAAGTTTCTTCAGCTTTTTGCACGATTACTCTCCCCAAAGAAACAAAACAATCTTAGCTTGACGAATCTCAGATGTGAAGTATTGAAGTATGTGAACTGCTTCAAGTATTATTTTTTATATTCGGCTCCGTCCACTACGATACTAAGATATTGCTTAGTTACTAGAAAACGCAGATTGGGATTGAGAAGTTTTTGAAATCCAAGATAACTCTGCACTTTATAGGCGACGATGCCGATGTCTACGATATTACGTCATACGATTATGACTCACCAATCAGCGAATCGGGAGATACGACTTGGAAGTATTTTGCCATCAAAGAGACTGTTTCGAAATATTTACCTACACCTGTCGAATCAGTACCTGCAAACTCGACCAAAACTTCCTTAAAAGGAATAAAACTGGACTCCAAAGGAACCTTGTTAATCTACTTCGACTTCATCGCGAGTGAAGACGACTACCAAAGTGCAAAATACCCCAAGTCTATGGAGGAACTTGGGTTCGACTACGGGTTCGTTATGTACCGATATGAACTGAAGAAAGACTACCCTAAAAACGTGACTCTCGCTTTTCCTGTTAACGGAATCGGAGATCGAGTTTTGATTCAAACTGCCATGTCTCATAATCACTCCGCTGCTTCTTATCTCGCGACCCTAGATAACGATCACAAGGAGGCTAAGTCCCTGGATATCGAGGTCGGATTGCAGAAAGGGCATTTTATTGTCTTGTTTGTGGAGAATAGAGGACGCCTGAATGGTGGGAAACAGATGCAGACTCAGCAGAAAGGGATTTTGGGTAATATTACCCTAGACGGAGAGTACGTTTGCCCAATTTCTTTAAAACTCGCGAGTAATTTACTTCCGTAGTGAGAAAAATTTTTAATTCGCATTTCAGGATTCTCGAAGACTGGGACATGATCCATCTCAAAATGGAGGGACTCGGCTCTCAGATCCTGCCTCCCCCTGATGTGCCCCCCTCAGTTGCCCCAGTGCCCATTGTGTACCAGGCGGAGGTGGAGATGGACATAGAAGACACTTTTCTCAACTTCACCTCTTTTTCCAGAGGAGTCGCATTGGTGGATAACTTCAATCTCGGCAGGTAAAATGATTTAAAAAACAATACCAGTTGTATTTCCAGTTTTCCAATTTTATCTGAACCTAAGCAGCTTAAAGCACTAATGCTACAAAACTGAAAGTTTCACAAAAAAACAAAAAAAAAACTTAAGCACAAGTAATGAAATTTTAGCTGGTAATTCCATCCCTCTATGGTTTTTAGATCAGATACTTTTACTGGAGGTTTAATGTTCAGAAAATTGGTCAATGATTGAACTCCCAGACAAAAAAAAACATTATTTGATTTCATGTATCATAAAATTTCTCACGTGCCAGATTTTTTATCCTGGTGAGCGAAAACAAAACAGAGGATTAACTTATTCAATTTTTTAACCCGTTTCAAAAAGGTACTGGCCCTCCAAGGGACCCCAGCAGACTCTGTATGTCCCTAAAGGGATCCGAAACTCCACCAAATTCATCCTCACTCTTGTCGAGTTCGAGGAGAGAAGTGAGGCAGAGACCGTTGACTTCCTGGACTACCCCGTTCTCAATGTACTGCCCAACTGATCCAGAGGGAACCAGAAATCATATTCAACAAAAACTTGAAGAAGAAAGAGAACCAAAGGCTAACAACAATCAAACGAGTTCAAAAGATAATTGAAGGAATACAATTCCGACAACATTCATTTATATATTTAATGTATACAGTCAAATCTCGATTTAGCGGACTCCCGATTTAACGTAAACCTCGGTTTTACGTAATTCCTTTTCCGGTTCCAAACTTTCCCCTTAGTAAAACCTTCATTTTACGTAATTTTGATTTAACGTATAACCTTGGTATTACGTAACTGCTGCATCGGACCAAAACCAATGTTTGCAATGTAAATAAACCTTTCTTTAACGTCACTCTTCAGCAAGCGAACCTTTCGCTGAACCAGAAGCAGATAATGACAATGAAAATGATGTTTTTTGGTGGAATCTGGAAGTGAAGCACCGACGACTCAGGAGTTCACTGTTCCCGGGCTCCAAACAGTTCATCAAAGCATCGAAGTTTTGCGATTATTTTGATACTTATGTATGTACCACCCATGAATGATGAATAAAATTCATTTAAACCGCCTTTTTTCAAACCTTCATTTAACGTAGACCTCGATTTTTCGTATAATTTTTTGACCGCCCAAACAGGTACGTTAAATCGAGATTTGACTGTATTCTTAAAACTAGTATTTATTTGGATAAATTAAAAAGTAAATTAGATACATTTCTGATCTGGTTATGGAAACTAATGCTAGATGAACACTAAGTTCGACTCAGAAGCAAAGCGTCTCGTCACTTACGATTCAGATCTACAAAAAGGTTTAAAAAAATAAATAGAAAAATACGAACCTTAAAAGACAACAAAAATCTGGCAACAGTTCAAATCAAAAAACAATTACCAATCGCGCAATTTAGCTAATCAACAAAAAAATTAAACATAGCCAACAGCAAATTGGAAGTGTTAATAAACTCAAGGAAACCGAAAAAAGAGAATAATCGACTTGTTTGATCATTTTTCAACTTTCGATAAGTAAAGAAAAAGTATCATGTGAATTTCAACATCACTGAATAATAATAATAAATTGGTTTCCAAGTATATGCAAGCAAATACACTTGGGAGAACGTCAAAGGCGTGTAGTCAGTCGAGTGCCGCCTCAAGAGCAAAGATAATTAAGCTAATCAATAAATCATAAAACTAATGATTATTTTATTACACAAAAATGCCTTTCTAAATGATAAAAAACATAAAAATCTTCAAAAAACATTTCATTTAATTACCGAGTTGGTTGCAGAACGCGAAAAAAAAGAAATACCACTGACCAGAATAATTCTAAAATGTTTTTGTTATCTATAATATGAACATCTGGAAACTGATGAAACATTTTTTGAGTCGCTGTTGTTCTAATGTCCACTAAAATTGATCTAAAGAATTTAATCAAAAATTAAACACAGGGATCAAGAGCTCAGCCACAAGCGAATAATCGGGAATACCGTCAATAGTGTTTTCGTTTCTCAAAACGTTTGCTCAGGTTTTCATTAATTCATATACGTGAAATTCTCCAAAAGTAAATATTTTGTTTTTGCTTTTCACTATTTGTTTTCTAAGTTAAGAATTAGTAAAAGTCTGTTCTGCGCTATGTCTAAATTTTTCAAAATAATTTTATTTGCCAGACCATATAACAGCACTCCATATTGCAGCACTGGTTGAATGAAAGCCTTATATGACTTTGAAACAGATTTCTGATTCAATTTGTAGTGATTCATTTTGTATTGTTACAATTTGTAGAGACACATTTTACCCGTGAGCGAGGACAACAGATTTATCGAGTGATTTATATGTTGTTTTTATTTAAGAATGTTGTCTAATGTAACCCCTAGATATTTCATTTCGTTTGTTAATTCAAACGATTAGTTGTTGAATCTCAATATTTTGCAGTTTTTTTTTCTTGAATTGGAGAACTTTACTTTTACTTTCACTTACTGCAAGCTTATTGCTCTCCACCCATAACAAAACGCGCTGTAACTCGTCCGACATTGATTTACCGTCAGCTTTGACAGTGCCAAACAATGCTGTGTCATCCGCGAAAAACGAAAAAGGTTATTCTGTAAATCGTACATACTTCAGGAAGATCGTTCACATACAGCAGAAACAATAAGGGATAAAGAACCGAACCTTGGGGCACCCTCACGTTATCAAACGTTTCTGAGATAACTGTGATTCAATATCAACGTATTGGTATCTGTTTTCAAGGTAAGAAATCATACTTTCGTGAATTGGGTATCAAAAACCATATCGATAACACTTTTCAAGAAGAATTGAGTTTGAAAGAGAATCAATTGAACTTGAAAGAGATTTCCGACTCAAATTGTAGTAATTCATTTTGTATTGTTACAATTTGTAGTGATACAGTTTAACCGTGAGCGAGGACAACTGATTTACCAAGTGATTTATATGTTGTTTTTATTTAAGCCTTTAGTCTAATGTAACCCCTAGATATTTCATTTCGTTTGTGAATTCAAATGTTTACTTGTTGAATCTGAGTATTTTGCAGTTTTATTTTGGCTTGAATTAGAGAACTTTGCTTTCACCTTCACTTACTGCAAGCTTTTTGCTCTCCACCCATTACAAAACGCGCTGTAATTCGTCCATCATTGATTAACCTTCATCTTTAGCAGTGCCAAACAATGCTGTGTCATCCGCGAAAAAGGCTATTCTGTAATTCGTACATACATCAGGAAGATCGTTCACATGCAGCAGAAACAATAAGGGATAAAGAACCGAACCTTGGCGCACCCTTACGTTATCAAACGTTTCTGAGATAACTGTCTTTCAATATCAACGTATTGGTATCTGTTTTCAAGGTAAGAAATCAGACTTTCGTGAATTGGGTATCAAAAACCATATCGATACCACTTTTCAAGAAGAATTAACTTTGAAAGAGATTCAATTGAACTTGAAAGAGATTTCTGACTCAAATTGTAGTAATTCATTTTGTATTGTTACAATTTGTAGTGATACAGTTTAACCGTTAGCGAGGACAACTGATTTACCAAGTGATATATATGTTGTTTTTATTTAAGCCTTTAGTCTAATGTAACCCCTAGATATGTCATTTCGTTTGTTAATTCAAATGTGTAGTTGTTGAATCTGAATATTTTGCAGTTTTATATTGGCTTGAATTGGAGAACTTTGCTTGTACCTTCACTTACTGCAAGCTTATTGCTCTCCACCCATTACAAAACGCGCTGTAATTCGTCCATCATTGATTAACCTTCATTTGTAGCAGAGCCAATTAATGCTGTGTCATCCGCAAAAAAGATTATTTTGTAATTCGTACATCAGGAAGATCGTTCACATAGAGCAAAAACAATAAGGGATCAAGAACCGAACCTGGGGCACCCTCGCGTTATCAAACGTTTCTGAGATAACTGTCTTTCAATATCAAGAAACTGTTATCTGTTTTCAAGGTAAGACTTCAGTATTTCATGAATTGGATCAAAAACCATATCGATAACACTTTTCACGAAGAATTGAGTGATCAACGGCGTCAAATGCTTTGGACAAATTAAAAACGGTACAAGCGACATCATCTTTAGCTGATTAACTGTTCGGAATGGTCTCAATGACATCAACAATTGCATCAAATGCTTATTTTCTTGATTGATATCCAAGTTGATTTGGCGTCTAAATTTTTTGCTTAAATATAAAATTTGTCATTCTGTTACAGATAAATTTTTTTACTGATTATCGGTTGGAGAGACTGGTGTAGTTTCCACATTTATCTTTGTTTTCACTCTTTAAAAGCGGTATTAATTAGGTAGTTTTCAAAGCTCGAAGAAAATACTGCTCCCCAAAGCACTGATTGAAGAGCTTGGCAAGATAACTAGATACGGCAGGATTTATTATTCTAAGTAGATAATTATTGTAGCCTTCACAGTCCGCTGATAATTTATTTTTTAAACTATGTAACACAACAATTTTCATGATCGCTTGTTTTTTGAAAGACCATTGACTCAGTCAATGCTTTTACGGTTCACTGTTTCTAAATTCATTGGTAGTTCGAAGTTTTCCGCTAATTTTTTCCCTATATTAACAAGTAGTCATTCATTTCGTCAGGATCGAACTCTCTGCTTAATGTGAACATCAACTTCTTTGGCTAACTGGAACAAACTTTTTGAACTGTCCTTCTATTGGTCTATTTTGTTTTCGTGATAAGTGGTTTTATTTGTCTTGATTAACACTTTTGCTTTATTTCTATAGTTTTTGAAAGTTTCCCAAGTATTTTCCGGTATTTTCTTTTTCCGGTATTAACTCAGAAGCTTATTTTAGCGTTCTTTTCTTGCTGCTATAATTTTCACCAAACAGCTCACCCAATTCGAGTGATTAGGGTGGAAATTATTTTCTTTTTCCGGTATTAATTTATTCATAGCTGAAAGTAAACTTTCGTTTAATTTCGAAGTTGGGTCATCAAGGGTCTTTAAGAACAATTCGTTTTCAGTTAATTGTAAGTCTTTGTAAATCAAATAACTGAAGTCCAGTTGTTTTTCTTTCGATTGAAGTCATTTGAAGGGTGTTTAATTTCTTCAACGTAAAGATGTCATTTTGTTCCTTTTCACTGAAAGCCTCTTCAACTTTCAAGTATACACCGTGATGATATGATTTTGCCGTAACTATTGTTTCAGCCGAGCTAGAAAAATGTGAAAAGCATCAATCCAGCTCTGTGATTTAGCTGATTCTTTTGTTGGATTGTTCGTTAACCTTGGCTGCAAGCCTTGAACTAATAGTGTGCTTAGAAGTTGTTTTTGTACTTTGGTTTTCTTCAATCATAATTATGTTTACATCTCCCCAAGTATGTGTTTGCAATTAGTTCAATTTTTTACGCTCAGCACTTGTTTTTTAGAATGTCTAACGCTTCATTTAATTCACAGTTTGGTGATTTTTAGACGATGGTTTGTAGTCCGCTTTATGATTTGATATTCGTGTTGTTTTTTATATATATTCCCAAGCCCCCAACTCTTTTTGTTCTCCTGCATGGAAAATTTTTTTGATAGAACATTAAGGACAAGCGCAATTTCGTTTGTATTTTCACTGCACAATGTCTCTGTTAAAACTATTGCAGCTGGTTTGATTTCCAGTTCTAAATTAAGAACTTCCAAATTACTAAAATTTTTATACAGTGATCTAATATTTTGTAGAAGTACGAGCCGAGTCATGTACTTTATTTTTTTAGGTAATCAATCCGTTTTGCCCTCACTATGAGTTCTGATTGTTTTACTATTCTTGATTTAAAATGGGAAGAAAAACAACCTGTGTTCGATTAGTACTCATTTGATCTGAGTTTTCATAACATTTTTTGTGTGTGTTTTGTATTGAACTTGAAACGAATTTGTAATTGTACCGAGGAGGTCGCAGTAGCATTTCTTAAGATTCTGAGGAAACACATACTTACAATACTAAGAGCTTCGCGCCTTTTCCGATTACAAAAAAATGACAACAGGAAAAACCAGGAACAACCCTTACAAAAACTGATTGACATTAAAAGTCGAAATAATACAGTGCTGATTACAATAATCTGGACAAACAAAAAATTTCTAAGGCGTTTTTCTGAAATTGGGTTGACATGAGACAAAAAGTTTTCTGAACAAATTTTGTTGAGAATTTTAGCAAATTAAAATGATGCCAATTTTTTTTTTGCAAAAATTAATCAAACCTATCGGTTTATTTGCTGAGAAAACTATATCAAAGTGAACCTCTTATGAAGCTCAAAAAAGTATTATCTCCGAAAACTTGCTCAAGACATTCAAAAAATGGTTTTAATTTGAAAATATGAGTTTTATAAGGTATAAATTACATTGTTAACCATCAAAGAAAAAATGGTTTATACAAAATTGAGAAAACTACACCTTTTAAAAAATCCAAAAATGATTGTTTTTGGGGTTGAAAAGTGGGATTGAAATGTCACTTTTCGTCTAAATTTCCTGTTTGCAAAAAAAACAAGTCTCCGCTAGAACTCCAGGGCTTCATCTCAAACATGGGAAGACAGAATCATTAAAAAAATTCGGGATACGGGCACTAATGCGACAAAAACAAACAGACCGACCAAAGCCCGAAAAAGCACAAAATATCTAGTAAGCAAAAAAAAACAGGTCGTTTTCGGATTCGCACTACAAACCTTTGCCATCTCAAGCAGTTCTGTTAAATCTATGCCAGATGTGCCGGAAGATTGATTGCAATCGAATTTATTATTACCAAGCATTAACAAAGCCAAAAAAAACCTGAGCAGAAACCTGAGCAAAAAAAATCTGTATAAAATGTTTTTAAAAAGTTCCACACACACGCGCACAAAAAAACGGTCATCGAACGACAAGATGAGAGACAAATAATTCGATATGAAATAAGCTGAAAGCTATTAAGCCGAAAAAAACTTTGAACAAAAATTTAACAAACCGAGTTGGTCTGAGTTGGTGTTTAACAAACAAAAAACATATGAAGTCGAAAAAACATAAGAAGTCGAAAAAATAAGTCTGACAAAATTAAAATTTTCCCATGTATCGTTGAAAATTAATTCCAGGCAAACATGCCAGACATTTGAATATTGGATTAGCAACGGGACAAAGCCTATGAAGAAAAAACAAAGCCGACAATCTTTTAGCAGACACAGGTTGAGCCAAAAAATATGATTTTATGAAAAAAAAAATCTTTCAAGTTTTACGTCCCACCTGAAACAAGAATGAACAACACTTGCGCTTGCAACTACAATGAAAGTTGCTTGCAGCAAAAAATCGAAGATGTGGCAAGTAAGTCGACAATCTTCGAGCAGGCACCAGAAGAGCCGGAAAAAAATGATTTAAAAAAAATAAACGTTTCAAGTCCCCGTGAAATTGCAATGAACAACACTTGCACTTGCAACTTCAAAGCAAGTTGGTTCTACCCCAAGCAAAATTCGTGATGTGGCAACTAAGTCGACAATCTTTGAGCAGACACCAGTTGGGCCGAAAAAAAAATGATTTCAAAATTTTTAAAAATTCTTTCAAGTCCCCCCTAAAATTAGAATGAGCAACACTTGCACTTGCAGATTAGGAAGTGAAGATCTAGCATTTAAGGAGTGAAAACTTAAGAAGTGAACACTTGCACTTAAGAAGTGAACATCCTCTAGAAGAGATCCTCTAGAAGTGATCGTGTGGACAAAGTTGTTTACGGAAAAAGTCTAGCACCCGATTGCAATAATCTTGCTTATCGCAACGGTAAAAATCAACAGGAAACAAAACCAACGAACCTCAGCTGAAACGGAAAAATACAAGAAATGGAGGAGTGAAAAGGCACTAAAAAGGAAAAAAAAATTAAACCTATTTGAGTTTTATTATTATTTTTTTCAACAAGTGGTTAATGTTGCGTGTCTGCGAGGTTAATGTAGATAATGTTGAATTGTCAAAAATTAACAAGAATAAAAATTTTGTCAGAAGACCAAAACTCCTAATAAGTAAATAAACCGAACCCAATAAGCCATAAATCATACAAAAATGTTCGGCAACAAAAACATCGTTTTGGAAGAACACCTGCACCATCTATATTGCAACAAAGATGATCATTTACGAATTCTAATTCGCATGTTCCCTCGTTCACGGGGAAAAAGTCAAGGTACAGAACCCCTGTCAGGGTAATTATGTTTAAAAAATGGTGACTAATTAAATTTAAAAAAAAATGATGAATTCGAAAAGTCCACGCTCCAATTTGAAATATTAGATAGCGTTTGATTCGATATCCTAATGATGATTATAATTTTTTATAATTCACCTGATTTCCGTGGCTTATTTTTATTTGCCTGCGCCTTACTTCCTTTTTTATATGTTGGGCCTTGCTCCCACCATTTCGCACTAGCAGGTCTCATCTCGAGGAGTCAGATGAAACAGGGACCCTCCAACCATGGCCGAAGTCGGACTCGAACACACGACCTTCGTGTTACCATTTCTACTGACCTGATCTCGTATCGCATGCACCTGATGCCCCATGGTTCCACAGAGGCCTCATTGATTGCATCCACAATAGCCAGATTCAACTTCTGTCTTTCCTCGAACACCTGGTCCAGCTGCAGTTTCCCCAGCTCACTCCTCGTACTTGTCTGGGCTAGCTGGGTAATGGCGTATTCCGGATCTTCAACTCCGTATGAGGCTTTGTATGGGTCTTCGACTTTGACGTAGAGCACTCCATCTAGCTTTAAGGTGACGTTATCTACAAAATAGGGAAAACTAAACATTGTGGTTAAGACAATTTCTCCACGAGTGAAGAACCAAAAATAGAGCTATTTTGTTGTTTACTGGTACCGTTGTTGTAATCCTGATTAAAAAAACGAGCATTTTGGTGTTATTTTTGTGGACTGGAAACTTAATTGTCATCCTTAAGCAACGAGCACAATTTATAGTGAATCTCATTAACACAAAGGTCGTAGGTTCGAATCCCGCTTCGGTCATGGTTGGAGGGGTCCCAGTGTCATTTGCCTCCTCAAAGTGGGACCGGCTGCGGCAAAAAGGATGACATCTATCTCCCCCACAGAATAAAAGGTAAAAGGTCCAAGGTTGAAAGGTGGGAGCTTGGCCGGGGTTTAATAAAATAGTGAATCTCAAACCGACTAAGAGGTGGAAACCTAAGTCCTTTCGCCATCGCTCCTATTATGAATTGCGATTAACAGGAAAAAAAATTGCTCGCTACCTTATTGTTCACCAAAAAAATATGGTTAAATGAAAAGCCAGGGAATCATGGGTCATAGTTTACGGATTCTTCAGAGATTAACTGTCGAGCTCATAATTAATTGTCATAATTACTAAATTATACAAAAAAGTCTTTTTTTGCGCGGTTTCGTGTTACAAAATATTCGCTTAGATTTTACTCACCTTTGGTAATAGCTTGCTGATCTGCGACATCTATGACTTGTTCTTTTAGACTCTGCAGATATCGAATTTTGTCAAAGAAAGGAATGAGGAAATTAAGACCCTAAATCCACAACACAATTGATTAAATTTTAAAAAAAATTTCAAGACAACCATTCGAGTAACGACTGATTCGACAAAAATATTTTTACTCTCTTCTACCTCTGAATTCAAAGTCTGCTCGCTTCGTACAATTTGATCACATTCATTTCGCCTTCAACATAATTTTGCTAATCATATTGCTTTTTAACTTAATGTCAAAATTTTCATTGCCGTGCTAACACTTCTTAATCCTAAAACTACTCAGTAAAAAAACTTAATTCCAAAATTTTTTTCCAACTTACGGGTTTCATAATTTTGCTGTACCTCCCCATTCTTTCTACAACCCACGCTTCCTGCTGAGGCACAAACCGAATGACCAAATTAGTTTTCACGCTCTGAGACATCAGTCGCACATCCAGTGTCGAAACAGCACAATTGTATGTAGGAAGCAGCAAGCATCGTTCTCCGTAAGGATGACGTTGATTCAAAATTTGAAGGCTCGAAAAATATCGGTTATGAGTTTGAACCACTTCGACTGCATTTACAATCAACCGCGTCTGATTCTTCAACATTTTTAATCATCAACTTGTTCACAACTAAAAATAAATGATAAACTGTCATGATGAGACAAAAAGTTGCAACTTTTGTTTTCAACCGATAATTAGAACGATCGTTTTTCACGTTTCCGACGCTCTAAAAAACTAATGGGTAACGCATCTTCGGTGCTTCAAGCTTAAGGCAACTCATGAAGAACCGCTCAAAATGGAAAAAGATCGGCAGCCTTTGAGTGTACTCTGACAGGACCTAATTACAGGGATTTAAAAATTTACTCAGAGGCGAAGCTGAGCTTCGCACCACTTGCAATACAAAACACAAAAGCCTCGGAGTCGAAAAAAAAATCGAAAATTTTGAACTAGATCTATCGATAAGGCTAGGTTTGAAACAAAAACGAGCCAAAACAATAGAATGTGAAAATAGAATGGAAAGAAAAGTTATCACGCGATAACAAAGCCGGAAATACCTTAGCAATAACCCTTTAGTCAAATCCCCCACGCCCTGAAACAAACAAGCACACACACACACATACAATTTTATTCACGCGTCAATTGAAACAATATGCAGCCACTATGCCGATATAATATTGGCCTAAATCTATTAAGCCAAAAAAACAGGAAAATACAAAACAAAGCCAAAAAAAAAACAAATTTACGACACGTACACAAATCGTGCAACGACAAAATATGTGGCGACTAAGCCGATGTAATAAAGGCCAAAACCTATCAAGCCGAAAAAAAGGAAAAGAAAAAACCAAAAAATCAAAAAATTTTACGACTATCAAGAAGTTATTGAGTCCCCCTCATCCTCAAAACACAGACACGAACACACAAAATTTTTTTCACCCATCGAAAGCCGCAATATGCCGCCCTAAACCGACATAATATAAGACCAAACTTATCAAACCGAAAAAAAAGCCAAAAAAAATTTGTTGAAAAACTTGAACTATAATTTCTATTAAGATTTTCAGCAAATTGTGCCATCCAGATGTGAACATGAAAACTATTTTTGTCTTGAAACCACTCGAAATTAGGCCAATAAGCCGATATAAAATAACCCCCGAGCCTATTAAGCCAAAAAAAAATCACAAAAAATAACATTTTAACAAATCGAGTTGGAAAAATCACAAACAACATAAACAGCAAATTTTCAAAAGGACGGATGTTTAAATAACAAACTCAACAATGCTTAATATTTGCAACAGAGAGGAGTAGGATTTGCAAAGAGGAAGAAGAAAAAAGGATTTGCAAAGTGGATTTATGAAGGAGTCCAGAAGTGAGTCCTCTGAACACAGTTGTTTACGGAAAAAAGTCTTGCACCCGATTGCAAAACCCTTTTGCAACCACTGCGAGTAACCTGAGAGCACCCAACTACATGGTTTGAAAGATCAAATTTTGTGAATTATTTTTTCATTTGAGTTTTCTGAAAATTTGAAAAATCAAAAAACAATCGTCGTATCTCGTAAGCTAAAAGGATTTGAGTATTCATAATTGAAGGCCAAATTCGCAATTCCTGGGGGAACCCTGACAGCATCCCATTATTGAGTTTTTAATTTTAAACTCGGTGAAATAAACACTGAAGTCAAACTGGAAAATCGAAAAAAAAATTCTTATCCATTGCAATATACGATATAGCTTAAACGTGAAAAAATTCTTTCAATAAACATGCAAAAATTATACGGTGAAAAGGCTTACACATAGCGAGATAGTGAAGCCCGCATTTAAATATAGTATAGATACAGATTAATTCACTTCATGTAAATCTTTTTGCAACATGTTAATTCCCATAAATGGAGCCAAAAAAAAACAAATTCACGAAGCACAATTGGTTGTTTGTCAAAGTCACTCTGACCCAAGGCTTTGCATCTTGATAATTGTGCTGTTTAAAACCACTATATTTTAAAAATTGGTTAACTAAAAACACGTATTTGAGTTTAATCTAATTCTTTGAACTACAATTTCCAATGCATAACCGATTTTGCAGCTTGCAAACAAAATCAAAAAATTTCAATTGAATTAAAAATCAAACTGTTGATTTCAATGTGCTTCTCTGACAAACAAAAAAATCTGTCATCATCCAGAATTGATCCCACCACCTACTTACGGATACTTTACTCCACTACACAACCTCGCTGGTATAAAAAAAATAAATTACTTAAATAAATATAAATGAATGGCAAAAATTATAAGAAGCAATGAAGGCACTTAATTAAGAGAATAAAGCTCTTGCTGTTTACCGCAGAAACATGCAACAAATGTGCAATATGTATAGGAAGAAATGCCATCATCTATAATACATGCTCCACTTCACTAAGTAAGCAAGAATATGAATGGAACAATTCTTCATGCTAATTATTTGCTTTCATGATATTGTAACGTTTTAGGAACCAGAATTTCCTTTTTCGTTCTCTAAAATTTCATTTTTTTAATGATTTTACATTCTAACTCACATTGCGATATTTTTCAACCCATTGTCGAAGACAACAGTCAAGTTAATAACACGCTGCTAGGTGTTTTAGCAGACAGCTTTTCAGCAGAACGATTTTTTACCAGACTTTTTTTGTTCACAAACGTGTAAATTCAAAATAATATGTTGCTACTAACTAAATAAAATTATCTCAATTTAAAAAATCAACCATTACACCGGTATGAAAATATACAACTTAGCTTGAAAAACAAATAAATCAATACTATAATCGGAAAAAAACTCGAAAAGGACCAACAAATCTATCAATTGGAGTTGGTTCGAGCATGTGTATCAAAAAAACTCAAGTTCAAATGTAAATTTCTGTTTCGATTTAACAATTCTCAGCTTCACGTTTAAATTGTACCATTTCATCATATAAACAGTGTTTGCTACAGTTTTCTTTCTCCAATATTTTAAGGATCATTTTTGTTTCACGTGTTTTGTTTGTCTGTTTTTTCACAGGCACGATACGATGTTAAAGATAAATAACATAAAATTTTAAAAATTTGTTTATTTTGAAAATTTTAACCTCATCAAACACTCTAGTTAGGATATGTCGAGTAAGGAATAGTTAAGGCTGGTAATACTTTAGACTTGAGAAGTAATCTCGTAAAAGATCATATTTTATACGAAGCTTTTAATTCACCAGTTAATTTGTGTTTCGTCTGATAATTTGAGACGGGTAGATTTTGAAAAAGAGAAAAGACAACAAAAAGATTTAAAAAACTAATGACTTGAAGAGCATAATTCTTGTTTGCAATGGTACCATATGTTGCGCGCAAAATATTGATTTGATTGCAACAGCATTTGTTGGCTGAAAAATAATCAGTCTACAGGACTCCAAAATACCTGGCAAGTTGTTTGCGAAAATCTTTTCAATTCGGAATTTTCATTGAAGTACTCTTTTCCAATAAACCAAGAAATCTGTTTGAATCAACAATGCGACCAAAATTTTTCTTATTGAATTATTCCCGTACTTCTCTAGTAGTTCCAGCATCGATATTCAGAACTAGGGTATTGCAAATTGAGCTGAAAACTAACAGTCCCATATACGTACCTTGTGGTACGCCATGTAGCATATTTCCCAATCAGATGCAGTGTTTTGAAGTTTTACACACGGTCATTAAAAACACTTCAGGAGAATTGCTGCATAATTGAAAACCATGCATTTAAATTTTTCCGAAAACAATCATGGAAAAAATAGTTTTTTTTGAAGACCTAGAAAAAGGATCGAAAGCAAGCGTTTTGATAGCGTGTTTGTCACACAAATTGGCCAGTAATTTAATGCAACCTGTTGGATGCAACCCTTTTTTGAAAAAAAGTATTATGCATGATTTTTCAAGGAATCGTGTAAATTGGTTTTGCGTTACACATTATCTTATTGCGAATCACAACTGCGTTCCGATCGCAAGTTTGCCTTGTTAAAGACGAAAACGTTTTATTACCACAGGCGATAATGATTTATTCAACGGTAACTTATCTAATTCCCCATGAATTTATTTTCTAGTTATGCAACGAGTTGAACAGTGCAGTTGTATATTTTTCTGTTTTTCGGGGTTTATGTTCACTATTAACAGAGAGGCGAAGCCTCGCTTCGCAAGCACTAGCGAGAACACTACAAAAAGCTGCTCTATAAAGTGCAATAAAAATTAGAAATAAGTAGAAGATGCTATGAAGTTTCCCATGCTACACATCGCGATTATACCAACAGTGCCACCAACAAATAGAACACTTAGCGAAAACTTTTATTTGCGAGTTAGGTTAAGAAAAAAGAAGGTTGGTAATAATACACTACGCTGCTCTCTAGAGTAAAAATACCTAATTTGAACAAAACTTACTCATATCATTTGCTTATTTTTTTAGGTAATTTTTGCTTTTCTTCATTTTCTATATCTATTAACCAAATAACAAACCAGAAAGCTAACATCAAACGCGGCATGAGTGATTAGCAACCACTTGCTCCTCTGCGCTTTCATTCAGCACCAGTGGTATTGGACACGTGAAGCAGTTGTTGCCGTAGTGATTCGTACGAACACGCCGAAGAGTCAATTGTAATAACCCAGTGGTGGAGTTTATCATATATAACTTGCCTTGAAATAAACCGAGAGCAGTAGAAGTAGCACTAAGATCATGCCCATGCTCTTACTCTAGTTCCAAACTTTGCACCAATGAATACAGGGAAAAGTGATGTAGTATAACTATACCTTGCAAGGAAAATAAAGAAATTGAAATTGGTCGCGTAAAAAATCAAAAAAATTTTACACACACAGGCGAAGCGGAGCTTCGCACCACTTGCGATACAGCACAAACATAAAAAACAAGTCGAAACCAAAATTAAGTGTTGAAAAAACCTGTAAACCAAAAATTTCGTATGTCTCGATGAAATTAAATGAGGGCCCAGCTTAAGTGGAGGTACGTGCTTGATATTGAAAGAATTTGCTATACTCATGCACTAGAAAAAATGTGATTTAAAAAATTGGACTTTGCACAAAACCTTTGTGGCTTCTCTAGTAATTTTGAGACAATCAATTTTCCCAAGCAGATAACATTCCTCTTAAAAAAAATTAAGGAGTCAACGCTTCTATAGGAACAATTATCGCAACAGGGTTTTTTCAATTGAACTTTTCATCTCAGATTTGATTGCGTAAATTTTAGGAAAAATCAAAGTTCAAAAACGGTCAAAAGACTTTCCAATATCCATAACTTGTTTCTGCAAAAAGCAGGTTGTGGCCGCGTAAGCAGAGAAGATTCCTAAAACCAGATTTCTCAATTGAGCACAACCTAAGAACTGTCACAGTAGTTTTCGCGTAAGTTAAAAATTTTCAAAAAACTCGAAGTTTCAAAACTTTGACTTGTTTGAAGGCCGTAAGATTTTTCCTTAAACAAACAAGAGTCCCAGCTAAAGCTGGAGATACCTGTTTGATAATTTTTGAGTTTGTTGTTCTGATGCGGTATGAAATAGGTATTTCAAAACTTTAAAAATGGGGCTTCCCCCAAAAGCTAGTTATTCCTCTATTGAATTATGAGTGAAATTTTTATGATTTTGTAATTTTCCCAAAGACAATTTTTTTAAAACAAATTTTAGGGAGTAGCATCTTATGCACGGAGGCTTCCCCCAGCCTGTTGCCTCGAGTAAACTCAAATTGAGTTCTTTTCGAGAGGAGTCAAAAAATTTCAAAAAAAAACGGATAAGAAATCAAAACATTGACTTTTCCGAGTGTCATACTTTTTTAGTGGGATTCACACAACCCGTTCTACTCATTGAAACCAAAATCTCAGATTTGGGAGGGTAGTTATCGAGAGAGTCAAAAAATTCCAAAAACAGGAAAAAAAATTGGATATTTCTTATTTCCGAGAGCCATTACTTTTTGTGTAAAAATTGGGCGTAACCGCTGATGCAGGAAAGCTGATCACTTGTCTTTTTGATTGAAATCAGAACGGTCAAAAGTAGAAAATTTCACTTTTATGAGAGCCATAATTTTTTCAAAAACGGTAAAAAAATTTGACTCTAACGAGGGTTACGATTTTTGTGTAAACAATTTGGGCGTAACTTTGTATGCAGGGGAGCTTCACATAACCCGATCTACCCATTGAACCCAAAATCTCAGATTTCGTAGATTAATTTTTGAGAAAAGACAAAGTTTTATAAAACGGTCAAAAAATCGAACAGTTGACTTTTCCGAGAATAATAACTTATTGTGTAAAAAATTAAGCCTCGAACAACCCGTTCTACTCATTGAACAAAAAAATCACAGACTTGGGAGGGTAGTTTTTGAAAAGGGTCAAAAAGTTTCAAACTAAGGTCAAAAAATCGAAAAATTGTCGATGTAGCCGCTGATGCAGGAAAGCTGATCACTTGTCTTTTTGATTGAAATCAGAACGGTCAAAAATCGAAAATTTCAATTTTATCAGAGCCATAATTTTTTTGTGTAAAAACGATTGGCAAAGCCGCTTCTGCAAGGGAGCTTCCCACATCACGTTCTACTCATTGAGGTCATACCTTTCTGTTCAAAAAAAATGGCGTAACCGCTTGAGCAGGGGAGCTTTCCACAACCTATTGTATCCATTGAATCCAAAATCCCAGATTTGGGAGGACAGTTTTTGAGAAAATGTCCAAATCCAAAAATATAGGTGAAAATTTCCCCCATACACTTTTTCGAAGGCTGTAGAAAGTGGGGTAAGATAAAACGAGCCGAGGCAATCACCTTGACACACAGGATAGTGTGCGTACTTCCCATTAGTCCAACTTTTTTGAAAATCGTTAGAGTAGTTTTTGAGAAAAACTTAATTTTTTGAAAAAATGAAAAAACTTTCTAAAGCTTCAAAAAAATTTTAAAACCCGATCTCAAAATTTTTTTCATAATACCTGTTTTATCAAACATGAACTGGGTATAGCTGATTATTTAAATAGGTTTTCAACAATTTGTTGTTTCAATAAAACGTATGATATCAGATTTGGCAGGATAGTTGGTGAGATAAGTCCAACAAATGGTCAACAAAACAGAGAAAAACCCTAAAAATGGTCAACATTTAAAAAAAATTTGACATTCCAGAAAATCATAGCTTTTTGTGTAAAAAAATAGGGCGAAGCTGCTTATGCAGAAGGAATTTACGCAACCTGTAATTTCGATTGAACCAAAAATGTCAGATTTGGGAGGGTAGTTTGGAGAAAAAAAAATTGAAAAATCGGTCAAAAAAACTTAATTTCCGAGGGCCATAACTTTTGGTGTCAGAAAAATTAAGGGGGGTAGTCGCATAAACAAGTGAGCTTCCCTCAACCCTGAGCTGAATCGTTGTACTCAAAAACGAAATTTAAGCTATGATGGGAAACGAATTATGCTCTCAGCCAACATACCGTAGGAATCAACTAACGAACTATAAATCTGTGGAAAAAAACGACAAAAATTCAAAACGACAATTTCCGACCAAACTAAGCTGTTTTGATAACACTGGTTAAATCAATTTTTTTTCGGTGGGAACACCTAAAACAGAACCACATTTTAGCTACAAATCTCTAACGAAAAACTCCGCCACTCAAATAAATTTAAAAAAATAAAAGATTTTTTTGAAAAAACAAGAAGAAACCACACAAGCTTCTCGTTTATAAACAGCTAAAAAACTATACAAGCGGCTCAATGAAAAGATGAATAACATCAAAAATTAAGACATCTGTTAAGAGACCGAAAAGTGAACAGCTACTTCTCGAAATCAAAATTGCTTTGCAAAAAAAAGCTGGCAGGCTGTTGAAAATATAATTGGAAAAGAGTCAACTTAAGAAAATAATATATGCCCCAAGAGACCCCTTGTGTTTCAAGAATAATTTATGATCGACACTTTTTGATAAAATTAATCCAATTTGAAAAAAAAACTGGATCAATTGGTAATTTTTTTTATTCCTCTGAGAAATCTGAACATCAAAATATACTTTCGAAACTAGAAGTCGATCACGTTTTTGTGACCTTTAGACTTTCGCTCTTCGACAGTGGAGTTTTCCTTCCTTTTAACAATGGAAATGAAGCTAACTTAAAACTAAATCAAACGTCAAACCGCGAAATGAAATTGGCAGATTTTTCATGTAAAAAAAAACAAAAAAAAACATCAATACCTATTGAAGCGAAAATCACTTCGTTCTTTTCTACTTAAAAATAATATTACCGCCTTCTTGTTGCATTATAACTTTATTTTTGCCAGAGTGATCATTTCATTCCTAAACATATTATACTATTTCTTCCAAAAACAACAGAGCCTACATACGTGAAATTAATTTAATTCATACAACATTCAAACACCACAATAGCTGTTACAAAGCAAAAGGAATATCTCGCATTTGATTATTAATAAGTTTTTTTTTTGTAATTTCGTACAAAACACTCAAAGTGCCATTATTTCTTTTAGTGACGCACTTTTTTCAAAAAGCGCCAAAATTCTTTTCCAAGAAGGTGTGCAAAAATTTCCATTTTTTAAACTCAAAACACGCACAATCAGCCTTACAGGTCTGGGATGAGGCTGAGTAGAAAAATCTGTGCAAATAAACTGTCGGCACAGCATTTAGCTGTCTAATATTTCCCAGCATGGATCTAACTTCCAATGTCTTGATCAGGCTGCCTTCCTTTGAAATGGTACAATTACAGGAGGATCTTCTTATTTTTAGGCCTGAAAACGAACTGGATTCGGCACCTGCTCCTTTTGTTAGCTTTCATATCTCAATTGAAAATAAACGAGGACAAAAAAGTAAATTTAGTTCAATATACTCATTCAAAGGTTCAAATTAAAAGCAATTTTTGAAACTCCAAATTTAGGAAAACCAAATTAAACCCAAAACATCTGCTCATTTACAGCACTTGTCTTTTTACAGTTCAATCTTCTAAAGGTGGTATTAATTTGGTTTGAGCTTAAACATTTCAAGCAACTTTTCAGTCAAATTGGGACACATTAACATATAGTCACTTGCACATTTCAATGGGCTAAAGCAGGCTTCTTTATCAAACAACTTCCAAAATAAAAAGCACTCTTTAAATCTCTTTTGTCGCTTTTTGACAAAAATGTCGAGATGTTTGAAATCTGTTTCAGTCTGCTTTAATTCTCAGAAAAGGTTATATTAAAAATCACTCCACTTGAATATGTTGCGGTTCTCCGACTCCATTCTCATCAATGAATCTGTAGATGAAGTATGGCTGGGCGATGATGAAGCGTGTCTTGAGTTCCTTCAGGCACTGCATCAGTAGGACTCTGGCGTCCTCTCTGGACATGTTTGGCTTGTGGTGTTGTTGCAGGAGACCTCCGAGGAAGGCGGAGGCGTAGCCTTGCACTGCGAACGCCTGTTTGTTCAGGCAGCCTAAAATCATATGGGGTTCACTAAGTCCATACATCTATTTTTGCTGAATAAACTTATCGGGTCTATTTTTGAAGTTTTATGATGTTTACTAAGCCAATACATCTACTTTTGCTGAACATGCAATCCTCGATAAATCGTATTTAAAATCAAACATTAAGAAAAATTGGGCAATATCTAACAACTCAAGCAACAAAATCCATCGCTACGTTGAAAACTAATTCACAATAATTCACAACAGCATCTCCAAAAATTTCATGAATGCTCTCTACATCAAATTTTTTTCCTGAAAAGCTCTCTTTGTCGAAAAAATCTTATAATGCTCTTTACGTCTCAAAACAGTTTGCTAAAATTACCTGATCATGTCAAGGCAACTGAGAAAAACTGAAGATAAATCTCAAGCACAAAAATTAAACTTGAAACGAAATAACAAAACTAAACCAGGAACTGATAGAAAATTGAACGTTACCTACCTAGATAATCCAAAAAGTACACAGAAGGTCCCACGTCCTTGTCACAACCAGCAATCACCATGTTCACCTGATAAGGAGTCCTACTTCTTAGAAAGTCAGCCACATTCCTGCGCGTATAATTGGCCACAGCATGTGTCGACAGTTCATATCCATTCCTCATTTTATACAATTGCACATTTTTAGCGATGTATTCTAGGAATTGAACTCTGTCTCCTTCGTCTCCGGCGCCTACGACTCCGCTAGTTGTGGTCAACTGCACAAATCGGTCTAGTTCCTGTTGGTAGGTTAATATGGACCTTCGGGCTGTTGCGTCCGCTGCGATTAGCGCGAAGCCGTCGCCCACAAAAGCTAAGAGACCTTCCATTTATCGGTTCTGAAATACGTATGAGTGCTAAGCTCCTTATTTCACTAGCAATTATTATAAGCAGATAAAAAAAGGAAAAAAGCCAGAAGTCGAAGAGTCACGAAAAATTTCATAATTTTGTCTCGAATGATATTCAAATAAGGAAAAACAAGTCCAACAATAGAATAGCCGGCGTGAAATTATAAGTATTCAGAAACATTTATCAAGCGACAACTAAGCAGAACCAATGGGCAAACTGTTGGTTTTTGGTTTTTAATAAGAAGTATGCCACGGTGGATGTATTAGGGGAACTGACTGAAAGACTTAGACTAGACGTTGATAAATTTATATAATGTAGCTTTTTATTGATCTAAAAAAGCTTTTGATACACTATGCTATAAAATTTTTCTTGGGAATTAGAATGCTATGGAGTGCGTGGTAATTGCTACAAATGGTTTGGAAGTTGTTTATCTAACAGATATCAGTTGGTACAAGTTGGTAACTGTACATCTGATTGCTTCCGGTTGAGACGGGAATACCTCAAGGTTCCGTATTGGGTCCCCTTCTTTTCCTTATTTATATTAACGACATGCGAGACGCAATTGTCAATTCTGATCTGTTTTTGTTTGCAGACGATACTAACATATCGTGTCAAACTTCGATCTTAGAGGAGTACCAAAAATATTTAACGAGCATTTCCTCGAATTTAAATGAAATTTAGTTAGATTTTATAAATATAGAGGTGCTTCTAATTTTAGTTTCATTTTACTCAATAATAGATTTACGCACAAATCCTGCTGTAATAATTAGGTCTTGTTCTCGATTAAAAATTGATTTTTTTTCCTCATATAAAAAAATTAATTTAAAACTGGGTAGTTACAGTGGAGTTGTTTCAAAAATGAGATATTATGTACCTACACCAATCATACTGAAAAACTATCAATCGAAAATCAAGCCACTAATTCAAAAAGGTTCACTTGTAGATGGATGCACTAGTTTTTGCTCTCTGAACCCAATTCTGATGATGCAACAAAAAACTATTCGCATGATTAACTTTAAAAAGAAGTATGATACCATTTCTAAGTTCATTTTTGAAAACAAAATACTGACAGTCATCGAGCTGTAAACCTATGAATTAGCGAAATTTTATTTAAGATCATTAAATTAAAGGCACTCAGCTTTTTTTCTAAATTCTGTTTTCTTCGAAAAGTTTTGCATACAATACCAGGAACTCAAAACATCGAAATGTCGTTCCACCATTTTTAAATATTAAGGAAAAAACAAAAAGCCAACCAACAGAGGATCAAAATTACTGAACATTTTGGCTGAGAATAACCTGGTAATTGAAAAAATTGGCTTGACAATAAATGAAGACTGTTTTCGTCCATGAATTTAGAGATAATTTTATAATTGGAAATCATGAGTTAGTGAAAAACATTTTCGATTAGATTTTTTATTTAGAATATAGGCACACTTTGTTAAATGCTATCAGATAAACTTCCTAGGATTGCGAATCTATGCTGAAAACATGACCCTCTAAATATTATTAGTTTCCGAGTTATGGCCATTTTTTGAAAGACTTTTGAAAATTTTGAAAAAAAAACTTTATGGATTTTTGTTTAAAAAAATTATCCGAAATTCCGTTCATAAACTACACCACATGGGTCGTGAAACGAGTCTTACATAAAAATGGACCTTCAACTCTAAGTAGTTATTTTCTTTTTCATGTGTAATTCTTTATCAATCATTTTTTCTGACTAGTTTTTTTTTGTTAGCATGCCACATAGCAGACAAATTTTAGATGGTGGCCGGGATCATTTGGTAACTTGTGGTTCAACGGAACTTGGATAATAAATTGATAGAAAAAAGTAGAATGAATTATTATTATTAGTTTTTTCATGTTTAATTGTTTGTTATTTATCTCAGAATTTTATGGGTAGACTCTAAGTGGACACATCTTGTGACCTTCTTCTATCCTCTCCATATTCATGTTGATTTGTTCATTTATGAAAAATGTTTATAAATTTATTTTCCAAATGATGAATGTTATGATTAAATACATGGAGAACTAAATTCTTTCTCTCTTTCTGGTAAAATAAATGTGGTCATGAAAAACGCTTAGCTATTAAATTCTGAAACTTTACCCTTTTGCGTGTTTCCAGAAGGGGGAGGACAAAAAAGGTCGCTGAGCCGATACAACATAAGCCGAAACAATTCTGTCCGAAAAAAGCATTCAAGCAAAAACGAAAACACAGGAACGCTAAAACAGTGTTAGTTAACTTACAAATTACAAAAGTAAAACAAAAACACTTGCAACTACAATAAAAAATAGCTTACAGCGTAAGAAAATTCCTTGATGTGGCAACTAAGCCGAAAAACAACCAGTTAAACAGTAGGCGGACCATTTTTTGGAACGGATTATTTGCAATTTAAAAATAAATCAGGTTCCTGCCGGATTCGAATCTAGGACCTTTGCCGTCCCAGTCGTAGTCATTAACTCTAGGCCAAAAGATACCAGAAGCCGAGATTCTTGAGTTTATTCTCAATTAAGATATCGCATGATTCAAGGAATTTTGTTAAAAAGTTGTTAACCTAAAATAGTTCAAGCGCAAATATTTCAACACCCAATAAGAAATCAATACTTCAACACGCAAATATTTCAACACCTAGACTCCATCTACGAGAGCGGTGATTCAATACAATTCTTTCAAAACGCTCTTATATGAGTGTTTCAACCTTCAAAACTATAGACTGAAGATTCTCATGAAGCTTAAACCGGTGTTTCCGTAAAGACTCACAAAACAAATTGACTATTTGTTTTATGATACAACTTATCACTATCAGCAGACAACTATTTCGCTGAAAACTTTAAATTTATGCAAAACAAACCTGCAAAATCTATACTAATTTAATAAATAGCACAAAACAAGAAAACCCAAAACAATCACAACATAATGTCACAGCTCTTTTTGAACAAAGTAAAAATTCTAGCTTTACAATTGTTCGTTAGAGACAAATTTTGCCTGAGATCCAATTTCTCAATTGAATCGAAAAACGATTTATCATTCGGGTCAATTTTACGCATTAAATCATCATCTAGTCGGCAGTTTCTCAAATCAACTACTTTTAGTTTCGAGCAAAACTGAAACAACTTATTCAAACTGCATAAAATAAAACCAGTTAGAAAGTTGTCCTTCAAGTTCATAAATTGTAAGCTTGACGACAGAAAAACGTTCGATTGCGACATTCGATGACATTCTGCGACAACTCTGTCAAAGTATTCAATGTCCATTCTGTTTTTAGTCAAGGTTATTTGCGTTAAACATGGACACGTTGCTATAATTCTCCCAATTTGGTCAAAATGGTCACTAGTCATTGTGATTTCAGTAAGTGCAAGATGCTTAACAGACTGATACATAGCCGATTGAAGAATTTTACTCGTCATTTCAGTATTTGAATACTTAATTGCACCTAAGAGGTTTCCAGATTCAGGCGAATATTGGCCGATAACTTCTAAAGCGTAGTCACATGGTTTGATATTTGATTTTCGACAGATTTTATTGAATTGTTCTTTCAGATGGGGTTGGTTCCACCCTGTTAATATTGCAAAGACTTCCTTCTTTCTGTTGTTTAGGGCCGACAAGATGTTTTCAGATAGTCTGCTATCCTCTTGGAGCGCTTTCTGAAAAAAAAATCATATGTCAAACCATCAAATCAAATCTCAAATTCTTTGATTTAAATGTTAAACTATTTTAACGAAAAATCATTTCAACGAAATCACAAGCGCATAAACGAAATTTTGATTTGATGAATCCAAAATAACTCACCCCTTGATATTTGACTTGCAGACATGGTTTAGTTCCAAACTTCAGTTTAAACTTCTCTGTCGCTTTTTCTATCAAATCAGACACTTTCTCGTCTTCGTTAGACACTGAAACCTTAGTCGTGAATCCCACTGAAGCCTTACTTGTAATAAAATAAATTGTTATCCTAGCTAAATCGACCACCACTGGCGATAAATCTACAGGCGTTGAGTTTCCTATTTCATTACAAGGCCGATTTTTGACCTCAGGAACAAAAATATCAATCATCGTAGAGCAGAGAGGTTGTTGACTTAGAGCCAATCCAAGTTGCGTCGAGTTATCGAGGGATTCTTGTCCAGGGCATAAAGACTCTTTGAGCTCCTGCAATCCAATTGGTTTATCAGTTTCCTGATTTTTGATTGGTTGAGCAGTGTTGCCTTTAGCGCCAATCACAGGCGAGGGAGGACCATCTTCGCCATCATCGTCTTCGTCATTGCTATCTGTATCAGAATCACTTTGTTTTCCGCATTTCGACGTTGAGCATTTTCCTCCTATTTCGTTGTCAGAATCACCACTGTCTGAGACTACGAAACTATCGTTCAAGTAGCCTCGTTCATCTATTGTCGGTTGAACAGGTACCACAGGCGTTCGGTCATTTCTAATATCGTCACTTAGAGAAATCTGATGAGATTTATTTTTTCCGCTATTTTGCAAACTGAAAGACTTGTCGATTGAGTGCCTTTTGGGTGGCGGAGTAGTTTCTTTCTCTGAATCCGAAGAACTGTCAATGACTACACGTGATACTCGTGACGTCTTTTTCGGACGTTTGGAACCGACTTTCACCTTTGGCGATTCGGACTTCTCTAAGTCTTTTTCAGCAAAATCCATGACTTCTTTATGCGCCGCGTTCGAATAATTCGAACTTTTACTCGTTGATATGCTTTGAATACCTGAATCTGAATCATTTTCACAATTCTTTGAAGTTTTTGAAAATTTTTCACGTACTTCTTCAGCCCAAGATCGGTCATCATCCTCATTAACTTCAAGGCTTTGCTCTCTCGGCGGATTCTTCGTAAAATTTTCTTTATTCCGTTCCGCTCGTTTTTGTTTTATCTTATCTGACTTCACATAATCATTTGCTGTTTTAGGTCTGTACAATGCTTTTCTATTGCTTTGTTGTTTCAAAGCATCTTCGTACATTTTCATTGCGAAACCAGGCTCGTCCAACTTTACTTCTTCTACTGGCGCCGGTTTGTAGACCTCGATAGGCTCTGATTCTGGCTGTTCCTGGTCCGAATTTTCTTCATCTTTTTCCAAAATAACCTCTGGACACTGTTCGTTCCCACCCGATACCAGAAAACTATCCAGAACCTTTTCATTGAAATTGACAACTTTCTTCACAAACTTCGGTCTTTCTTTGTTTTTAATCAAAGTTCGGATTTCCTCAAAAAGTTCTCGTAATTCTTTCGTTGTGTTGTTTTCACTATATCTTTTGCTTACAACCCATTCGAAAAAATCAGCCGCACAAATTCCTATTTTACCTACACTATACGGGTAAGCTCCTCGCTCAAGAAGTAACTTCGCACATTGAAAATTTTCATTTTGAATTGCATCCATTAACGCCGTGAAGCCATTTCTTTTCATCGGTTTTTCAATGTAAGCTCCTGCATCTAAGAGCAGTTCGCAAATTTCAACATGTCCGAAGTTCACAGCTTCGTGTAAGGGCGTCCACCCGAAATGATCTTCGACATTAACACTGTATTTCTTAGCAATCAGATCTTTGACCAAAGCGTAGTTGCGTTTTATAACAGCTTCTTGGAGCTTTGTTTCACCTTTTCCATTTCTCTTGTAACGATTCATCAGATTTCTCGCCAGTTGAGCCGAGTCTTCTGGTTCAGAATCCGAACTTAACTCTGTATTCCAGACTTCGGCGCTTTCTTCTGCAAATTCTTCGTCAGCCGGAGCGTCTGAATCAACAGAAACTTCCGCATTTACTGAATTTGTTTTTATTTGTGATCTCAAATCGGCGCATTTACAAATACAATCAGCGTTTCCTGAAGTTTCAGCAGTGCGTTTTGCTTTTTCGCAATAAAAACTTGAATTGGCATCATCACTAAGGTTTCTGTAACATCTACTTAAGTGTCTATAAATCCGACATAACTTTTCGTCTTTATCGTCTACGTCAGCAAAACGAGTTTCAAGACAAGCAGCTATGTTTAAATATTGGTCACATGCATCGTTATACAAATTACAGTCGCATAAATTAAGGCAAATCGAAAGAGATAAATCATAGATTTTATCAGAAAAGAAAGATTCGTTTTTCAAAATGTCCAGCGATTCTTTGTACTTATCGTTCGATAGTGTGAACGCTTTCAATTCAGCGTAAATATCGCCCAACTTTTCGTTAATTTCCGTCAAATCTGTTAATTCTGCATTTTCAAGCTGAGCTTCAATATTTCTACTTAGTTTAATTTTCTTGGCCAGCGCTTGAACTTGAAAGAAATTATCAAACCTTTCCGCTTTTTTGGGCTTAAGAGCCCTTTTCAAATATTTATATGCCTTTTCTAAATCGTTATCACAACAATGATATCTCGCAATTGTAAACAATAAATTGAATTTTTCTTCGTCTTTTTCTTTCATTTTATCAATCAGGTTTAAACACCTTTGAGCATACTGAATACAAGTAATGAAAGATCTGTCTTTTTCATAAATGGCTTGGCCTTCAGTGTAAAGCAGTATTAAAATATCGTTTAGATCTTTACTTTTTGAAGCTACGTCAATACCTCGTTTCATGTATTCAATAGCTTTTTCACGTTCGCCAATATTGTTGAAAAATTGGGCCATATTTTGGTACAATGATGCCTTTTTTCTTGGAATTTCTAAATCACTCGCTGATAACTTCAACTTTTTCATCTCACCTAAACTGTTTTCACTTCCTAGAAACATTCTCTCCGCTACGCTTTGCATCGTTTTCCGTTCATCTTCCGTAATTTCTGGCTTTTCTGCTAAATACATCGAAACTCTTGCTTTATTAAGCAATGCTTGTTGAACGTGGGGTTCATTTTTAAGTTCCCGGGCCAACTTGACATAAGTATCTGCTCGTGATAATGCCTCGTCTAGAGACTCAAGCTCTATTAGGCAATCGATTGATCGTCTTAAGCCATCCAAATGATAATCTTCTAATGTTGAGCTTCTTTTACCAGTACATAAGTTTATAACTTGTTCAAATCGGTTAAGACTGTCGTCTAATCGTCCGTCGTTGAACTGATTTTCCCCAATTTCGAATAAAATGCTAACTTCTTTAAGCGTATCATTTTTAGACCTCGCTTTGCGCAGATCGTTTTCAAGCTCCTTCAGAAATGAGGTCTTTTTCATAAGCTCCTGAAATGTTTAGATAAGTTGACTAACCCACACTCAGAAACAACAATGAAAAACAAGAGCATCCAATTGCTGAGCAAAAAGCACACCGAAACAAGTCCGGTTCCATGAAAAAGAACTCCAAAATCTACACACTTAGCCCAAGGTCACGACCCGAACTTATTGATCAGAAAAAAATTATTATATCTACTTATCTCAAGCCAGCAAAAATTGAAAATGTAATTTTTTGCAGAGGCAAAGCTGCACGAAGCTACACGTTTAGTAAGAAAAAAGAAGATTTATAGTATGGCACTACGCTTGCTATAGCACTTTGCATACTGAAGGAAAACTAAAGAGAAACTTAAACCTTATTTATGAAACTTGAGCAACGCCCTAAAATTTTCGACATTTTAACGTCTCAACCAGTATTAAAAAATTGATTTAAACTTCAAGAGGATAACTACTTGAAGTATTTCATTTAAATTTCCTCACATGCTATGTTAAGTACAACTTGATTTCTTTTCTGTCCAGGATCGCATGAAAAGACTGAACAGATTCGAAACGCCATTCACTTGATATATTTAATCTCATCCTAAATACTCTTGAGCCTGATTCAAAACCCTGTTTTAACTCTGACCCTGATTCAAGAATACTCAAGTGGTAATGATTTCTGAGACGGGTTAATCCGCCGCCTAGACAACACGTTTATTAAAAACTTGTAAATCGCCCTCATTATTATTCCAAATTGCCAAACTTTCAAACTCTATTTGATCAGGTGTTGTATCTTTTAAATTCCAGCTCCGGGCTTCAATACCCTTCAGATGATATTTAAAAAAAATAGTTTAAAAATCAGACCAATCATGAAAGCCTTCAATTATTCAACTCAGAATAGATTGCACATTAGTGCAGGCAAATGGGCATAGATAAAACATAGCCAACTGACAGTTGGAAAAGAGTAATCAACGCAAGCAAACTGAAAAAAAACGAGCAGTTTTTTTTTCAAAAATCTTCAACTTTTGAATTTCGCAGAAAAAAATAGATGGCCTTAAAGCTCTTTGAATTTGTAGTACAATTTATAATGGACACTTTTTTGTTAAATTTAACCAAATTTGAGAAAACTGGATCAATAGGTAAAACTATTATTTCGCTGGGAAATCTGATAATTCATTTCCATTTTCGAAATTAGATATTGATCACGTTTTTCGTGACTTTTACAATTTTGCTGTTCAAAGTGGAGTTTGCCTTCCTTTTAACAATAGAAATGCATTGAACTTAGAAAAAAATCACAAGTCAAACCGCGAAAATTCAAAATTGAGCGTGAACAAATGTTAACACTTTTCTGAAAGAAAATACCAGCAAGGCCTTTAAGAGTACTCACTACGTTCATTACTCTTAATAAATAGGTATCCAACTTTTTAACCCCCGTTACTTAACACCCTATGTTTACACCCTCTATTTTATAACCCCGTAACAAAATATCCCAAAGCAATATAACCCGGTAAATGGGTTCAAATGTCTTTATACAACCATAGTGAAATTCCAATTAAGTATTCTAATTGAGGACAGAGACGCTATTCTTAATTCACTTCATATATTTGATCTCAACCTGAATACTCATGATTCTGATTTGAAACCCTGTTTTAACTCTGACCCTGATTCAAAATTGCTGGAAGTTACTCACCTTTCTGAAGACTTATCAGAAAAGTTTTTTTTTCCTTATATTTCTGAGAAAAAAAATTGTCTGAACTCATGATGTCAATCCGCGTCTGATCTTTGGGTGAAAAGTGTCGCTTTGTACGCTTGCTACACTGCAACAAACGGAACATAGAAATTGAACTATGAATTTTCTACTATTAGTAAACAACATTATATATTAATGAACTGATAATTTTCCATGATTCTGAAAAGCACAATATCGTCATCTCCTAATAGCACAAAATTCAAACAATTTAATCTCTGATCCGCGACTGTTGGAAAAAACTTGTCTTTTTGATGACTTCTCCGAAAAGAAAAATTCCCTACACATTTCAAATTTTTTTATCGCAATTGTCGGAACTCACGTCATCAATTTGCGTCTAACAGTTGGCATGTGAAAGTATCTCTGCATGTTTCGACTGATCTTCCACGTGTCCACATATATTAAGTTTAGAAAAAAAAGATATACGAAAAATATTCTACACGCAATATCAAGGACGCAAAGTTTAAAACCCACTGTAAATTTTGACACTACTCCAATCTTGAGACTAATTAGGACATCTCGGTATAACTTAGAAAGTTTTTTTGGCTCCATTCATTCGCAACAAGCAAAAAAAACTGGAAAACTAGCGAGCGCTAATTAAACCAAATGGCTATTCTCAAATCTCCATGATTTTACAAAAATAACTGAAGGAGAAAGATCTTCTTCAGAGTATCAAGGTACTGACTAACAAAACGTTAAAAAACTTGAGGCTTTTATTAACGAAACAGAAAAATAAACATCACGACAAGAATTCACCTTCAAAATGCTCAGCAACACAAAATTGTAACTGAGCAAAAACTCTCAACTTCTACTCCGCCAAACAAGTTGGGTGAGCTCGTACAATATACTCGCCCAAAATACTGCAGACCGAATGTGAGCGGGTGTCAAGTGGTTACGTCTCTGCCTCTCAACCGAAAGGTCGGATGTTCGAGGCCCACCATGATCCGTGCTCTTACTTGAGGGTGAGGCAACATTACCCAGCCCAGAAAAATAACCAAAAAAAATTGCATGTAGTTCTTAAGCAGGGGCACAACAGCGGTTCTCCGTGAAGAGCTGAACAGCTCGTTTGTTGGTCCTTTGCCTTGTGGATCAATTGACTTAACTCAGTTGACTCTTTTTAAGTCACAAACGTACCGACAGACGGTTAGAAAGGTGACAATTAACTCAAAAAAGCATGTTTTAAGAAACAAAATGTTACTTTGAAGCCCTTTGAATTTCACGATCTTTTATGACATTAAAAGATCGTGAAATTCAAAAGGCTTAAGGGTGACATTTTTGATCGTAATTAAATCTTACGTAAATTTTGGACTATTGACTATTACGCAATTTATTATTCCGCTGAAATCTTAAGATTATAATACTTTTCGGAAACTAAAAGTCAATCTCACTTTTTCGCACCATTTGCATTTTTGTCTTCCTTTTAGCAACATATTTTGAATTGAAGTTAATAAATCAAAAGTCAAACCGCAAAAAAATCAAATTTAATGACCGTCAAAAAACCGAAAAACCACGTCCACCTAAATAAGTACCTTCACTCACTTCATTCATTGACACTTAAAAACAAAATCAGTTCCTCCTTGGGCAGTTTTTCAACCATGCAGTTGCTTTGAAAAAAAACTACGGCCATCGATAAATAGTTGCAAGCGCTCCAATTTAAAAGGACTTTTTCACTGTATTCACATATTCCAGAATCTTGTCGATTATTTAATTATTTTTTAATATATCACATACCTCCGCCCCTACGTCAGCTGGCAGAGTAATTAGTTCAACTGACGAGCTGCATAACTCTATTTAATTTCTTCAATTTCATTTGTAAAACACTCATATACAAATCGCGAATGGAATTATTAGATCAAGTAAAACTATAACTGGCAAACACAAGCACAAGTTCATAAATAAATACATCATTAAAATAATCCTGAGTACAATAGAAGATATAAAGGGTCTTTTGACTTATTCCACCCATATTTGCAAGTCTCATAATGCAAATGGACTCAGAATTGAAACAGTCCGAATCTGCTTGCATAAATAAAATTAACTGTGTTTGCAAAAGATGCGGTGATACGCAATTTTGGGCCAGAAGCAAAAAAGACCTGAGATAAATTCTTGTTTCAAGATTTACACTCAAAAAAGCCTCACAATTTTATTATTATTACTCTGGAATGCCACTGGACTCTTCTGTTTCACTGTAATCCTTTGGCTTCTCATTGGGGCCCAGAAGACGCCCAACATATTCGTATTTACCTAGAGTCAAACAAAAGATTTAAGACATGTCCATTGGATATGTACGATACCATAGATTATTTCAATCAAACCTTTTTTTTCTACACTCTGAACAACAAAAAAGCTAATTGCACAACAAAAAAGCTAATTGCAAATTTAATACAGATGTGATGCTGCGCTTCGCAAACACTAGCCACAAAACAGCAACTCTGTAAGTTAAACTAAGAAAAAGAAGCAACAAGCCTCGAATTAGGAAAATCTTTTTTTTTGTGTCGGATTCGATCCGGCGACCTCGGTATTTGGAGTCTCGCGTCCTTCCCTCTTAGCCACCGCCAATTAACGTTAATCAAGCATTAGGCAAAAAAGCAGAGAACTGATGCTATCAAGTTTCCAATGCTACGAATCGTGATTATAGCGAAAGTTCTACCGAATGAGCTCTTCTATTTGCAAATTAGGTTGGAAAAACGTAGATTCATCCTAATACACTACGCTCGCACCTGTAATAATCACACAGAGTATCAATCTTCATCTTCCTTCAGGAGTTCCTTAGGCAAAAAATACATTAAAAAATCAAAAAATTTTCACTGAGAGGCGACGCGTAGCTTCCAACCATTAGCAATGCAGTAAATGTATTTTTTCAAGGTGAAAAAAAATAAAGAAATGTTACTTCGAATTTTTTACATATCAGCAAAGAATATTCGAAAACTATTACTCAAGCAGCAAGTTGTATGACTGCAATTAAAGTTCTGAACTTGCCTGCATTGCATTAAATTGCTGAAGACGATCGAAAAAACTATTTGCTAAACGCACAGATTGGTGGAAAAACTCTAAATAGATTATCTCTGTTTTTAACGCGTGAATGGAGGATTGTTTCTAAAGCTTATCGAAATGCAATTATTTTTGACTGACTAGATACATCAAATGAATTAAGAATGGCTTCTCCCTGGCCTTGATTAGTACACTTAATTGGAACACTACTACGGTTGTAAAAGGACTCTAAAACAAGTTAATCGCATTAAAAAGGGGTTAAACTGTTGTGGAGGGTTATAAAATACTTTCACAGAAGTCAAGAAGTCAAAAAATTTCATTACTTTCACAGAAGTCACGAAGACAAATTAAGGCGGAAAAATATATGGACAGAACCTAATAAGACAGAAAAACATCGATACTTATGTTTAAAATTTATATTCCTTATTTTGAACCAATATGCAGCCGAAAAATTCAAAAAACTGTTCACACAAACAAAAACAACGAAAAAAAAATTTTGAGCAAAAGAACACAGTAGGTGGTCATGTCAGTTTTTCACGAACTGCAACTTAGGAAAATCCTAATTTCACCATTTTCGGGGGAAAATTCCAGCACCCGGTTGCAATACCCTTGTTTTTCGCAAGGGAAAATAATTAGCCATTTAATTGCCAGAAAAAATATGGAAAGAAGGGCTTTTACATAACATTAATTACTTTTTATTTTCGCTTTCTCGGCCTATAAAAAAACTAAGACAGCCATGGACAATAAGTTTGTGACCAAAAAAACTAACCTTTAAACTGCATTTCCCATTCATTCAACTGATCTAATTCAGACGAGCTGAGATCCTTCAGATCGTCGAAATCTTCCTTGGTGGATGACTCTAGTGACATAGTAGCAAGGCCTCTTGAAGCATCTTTTCCAGCAAAACAATGATATGGTCCATCTGTAATAAAAAAGATTTTGTCCTTCGCGTGTAATAAAACTAGAAAAAGCTTGGTTTGAAAAGACAACTGACAGAAGTGTTACTGATGATTATTTTCGCTCTTTAAACACCCGAATCTCAAAGAACAAATTGCATTGCCTTATATTTCTTCAAAGATCAATAATCTTACATGATCGACATACTTCTGTTAAAATTAAACCAATTTGGAAAAAAAGTGGTCAATCAGTCAATCGAAGGCAAAAGGTCAATCGAAGGCAGAAGGTCAATCGAAGGCAGTTGGTCAATCGAAATTGGTCAATTGGTCAATAAGCCGATGGAATTCAGTCGTGATTAGAAAAACATTTTAAAAATCAAAAGGAAGCGCCTAATTTTATTATATGAAAAACTGATTCTAGAGGCCAGCTAAAGCTGGAAAAACGTGTTTGATAATTTTTGAATATTTTGTACTGATGCTGGAAAAACGTGTTTGATAATTTTTGAATATTTTGTACTGATGCGGGATGAAATAGGTAATTTCAAAATATTCGAGAGAAAAATTGAAATAAAAAAAAACTGTAATTTGACTTTACCAAAGGCGTAACTTTTTGCTTTAAAAAAATTGAGCGTGGCCGCTCATGCCGGAGAGCATCTTCCGACCCTATCTAGTCATTGAAACCAAAATCTCAGATATGGGAGGGTAGTTTCCGAGAAAAGTCAAAAGAGTTTGAAAAAACGGTCAAGCATGACTTTTCCGAGGAAATCAATTTTCTCGTTAAAATAGGCTAGGCCGCTTAAACCGTGTTTTCCATTGAACGCACAATCTCAGATTTGGGTGGGTAGCTTTCGAGAAAAGTCAAAAAAGTTTCAAAAACTGTCAACAATTTTACTTTTCCCAGGGTCGTTACGTCTTGTGTAAAAAAAGTGTAGGCGTACCACTCATGCAGCAGAGCTTCCCACAACCCGTTCTACTCGTTAAAACCAAAACCTCAGATTTAGGACCGTAGTTTTCGAGAAAAGTCAAAAAGTTCCAAAAAACAATCAAAAAATCAAAAATTTGACTTTTCCGAGGGTCATAAATTTGTTTTTTAAAAAATTAAGCGTAACTGCTTCTGCAGTGTAGCTCCACACAAGACGTCCTTTCGGTTGAAACTTAAATCTCAGAATTCGAGAAGAGTCAAAAAGTTTCTCAAGACTGTCAAAAAATTGACTTATCTGAGGGCCATAACTTTTTGAGTAAAAAAGTTGGGCGTAGCCGCGTATTCAGGGGAGCTTCCTTCAATCTGCTTTATCCATTGAACCTCCGTAAGAATTTCGGTAGAGTAGTTTTTGAGAAAAACTAAATTTTGAAAAAAACGATAACTTTTCCAAGGCGTTTCAAAAAAAATTGAAAAATAGAAAACAATCCGATCCCATGCATTTTTATAAAACCTGTTTTAATCAAAAAGGAATGTAACAAAAAAAATGCGAAAAGAATACAGGCATGGAACGTTTATATTCATTTGACGTTCCCACCACAGTTATTCAAAACATATTTATATTTTCTTTTTTTTAAACATTAGATTGTTTTTTTTGTTTGAGGTGCAACGAGACTTGAAAGAAGAAAGCTGAGAACATAAGATTGCCTTTAGTTGACTAAAGTTATTTTTCAAAATAATAACAAAACAAAAAAATAAACATTTACGCAAAAAAATCTTGAATTTAAAATTTCTTGAATTTTTCCTTTAGTTCTTCTTCCTACAACAAAAACAGTTCAAATTTTTAAAAAAAGAAAAAAATTTCAAGAAAACTAATGAGGCAGGAATGTTCTGTGTTACTCGCAACCATATACTCTTGTTGTTTTTTATTTTCATCTAGGGAGAGGTGACTGAATTGATAAATGAGCCAGTTAGCAGCCGATAAAAAATTTCCAGATAATTACAAATTGAAGTTGAGAATTACCAGTCTGAAAACAGAAAAATATATACATATATAGGGCATATGAGATTCCTGAAACACAGAGGCGAAGCGGAGCTACGCTCCTCTTGCGATACCACAAACACAAAATGAAAAATGTTGGACAAAATATTAGGTGAACCAAAATCGTATGTCTCGATAAAATAAAACAAGGGGCCAGCAAAAGCTGGAAGCACCTGTTGATTACTTAAATGTGTTATACTGATGTGGGATGAAATGAGTAATTATAAAATAAACTTTTCCCAAAAAACTTAAACGTTTCTGTACTAAAACTTTCCCGAAGACATAATATTTTTCTTACAAAGATTTAACGAGTCGCCCCTTCTACAGGAAAATTTCTCGCAACGGGTTTTTCGAATGAAATCTTCATTTCAGGTTTGATAGTGCAGTTTTTAGACAAGTACAAAAAACACGTTTCTAAAAAAATGCTCAAAAATTCAAAAACGTGAACTTCGGATAGCTGTGGCCACTTTAGCAGAGAAAATTACCAAAGCTGCTTTTCTCGATTGAACACTTGACCTGAGAATTGGCAGGGTAATTTTCGAGAAATCAAATAGTTTCCAAAAAACGGTAAGGAAAGGAAAGGAAAAGAATAAATTAAGATAGAAACACATCTATCTTACACGTGATAGAACAAAAGCAAACAAAAGTTTATAGAAAGTTTTTGTTTCTTAAGGCTCTGGCTGGAAAAAGCTTGAAATGTTTTTCTAATTTTTCGTGTGCTGCAACTGCTTTTTCTCTAAGTCTGTTTTCTGCATAAGTTTCTCGTTTTGGCAATTTTGAATGAAGAATATGGTCTTGTTTTGAACTTGACTGTAATAGTTTGTTGTCATGGTTCTCTATGAGCTCGAAAATTGGAGTAAATGTAGAAGTAACACCAAGTTTAAGAGCCCTGCGCTGAACTTTGTCCACATCGGCCAATTCGGTCGAATTGGCACATGCCCATACCGGTAATGCGTAAGTAATTTTACTCTGCACCAAAATTTTGTATAAAATATCAAGGGCAGAGATGTTCATACCAAATGTCTTTAGTCTATACAAAAGGTATATACTGCTGGTTACTTTTTTGCATAAACTTTTGATGTGCGATGAAAACGTAAGCCTGCTATCAAATAATACTCCGAGAATTTTAAGCTCTTCCACTTGCTCAATACCATCAAAAGCTTGTGGTACTAAACTAATGTCATTCGGTTTGACAGTCATCAGTTTTGTTTTTCCCTCGTTGAGTATGAAGTTATTTGTGGAGCACCAAGTTTTAATTTCCTCCAAAACTTTCATTGTGTTTTCGACCGAGCCGAACCCCGCTATCACAGAGTTTGCATCGTCCGCAAACTTTATAATTCTAGCACTGTTTGTACTCTCCAAATCCAAATCATAGCTTACTGTATTGAAAAGCGGCGGGCCAAGAACTGTTCCCTGAGGAACACCTTGGTTAATGCATAGCAAGTTCGAACGCTGAGAATTACTTTCCGTGAAAATTTTTCTGTCCTGAAGAAAATTTGCGATCCAATTGATTATGAATGGATTTATTTCCGGTCTAACTGATTGTAGCTTATCAATTATGATTGAATGCTGGGCTCTATCAAATGCTTTACTAAGGTCTATTGATAGTATCTGTATATAATCAGCTTTACTTTTCTGAAAAGAAGCAATTTCTTGCTGAAGACAAATCATAGCCGTTGTGGTAGACGCTGAATTTCTGAAACCGTGTTGGTTTTTAGGTAACCAGCTGTTGTACTGTGCTGAGATTAAGTTTTTCATAATAATTCTTTCGAAGAACCGAGAGATTACTGGGGTGATTGAGATGGGTCGATAGTCCTCAGGGCCCATAGGGGCTTTGCATTTGGCGATCGGAACTATTTTTGCAGTTTTCAGGAGTGAGGGGACTTTGGTTTGCAATATTGACAAGTTCAATATCTTTAACACTGGTTCTGCAAGCGAATGAGCGTTCTCCTTCCAGACCCAATACGGAATCTGGTCGGGTCCGGCAGCAGTTTGTTTTAATCGTTTGAGCTGGGAGTATATTTGCTGTAGTGAGACCTCTGGGGAGTCATAACCTGATACGTTACATACATGCGGCTCAATATACTCCGTAGAAGTACAAATGTCCGCAAAGTATTGATTCAGCTCGTCTGGTTCGTGGTTTGCTGTAGAAGTTAAGTTTTTTCGGCCTGTTAAATAGTTCACTTCTTGCCACCAAGATTTGGTTCCACGTTTACTTTTTGTGAGATTCTTCTTTATCTCCATTTTGATAGCATTTTCTACTTCGGTTGAAATTCTGTCTTTTTTCTTCATGTGGTACTTTTTCTTGAGAAGCGATTTCAGCAGAGGAGTCATGTAATTGGGGTCTCTAGCTGAAAGACGCGCAGTTTTTATAGGACAGGTAACATCTAGAAGTTCAAGTAACAAGTTATTTAACTGGGTAAAGGCTAAGTCTGGGCAAGAGTAATCAATAAGGGACATATCTACTCGGTCCAAAGTGATACCAAATACTTCTCTGTTAGCAAAACTTGCTTTTCTGATTTTTTTAATATCGGCAGGGTAGTTTTTGAGAAAAACTTAAAGTTTTGCAAAAAGTGAAAAACGTTTTCAAAACAACTCCATACATTTTATTTTCATTGCACCTGTCTTTCATCAAACAGGAAATTTAAGAAAACAAGCCAAGGAAGACATTAGAAGCAAGTATTTTAATTGAAGCAAGTATTGCAATATCACAAACTTGGACCAACCTGGTCCATAAAAGTCCCTGCCTCTATTTGTAACGTCAAAAACTTTGAAGTTCACTCCAATCAAAATTCGCTCATTATCAATTCCATTGAATGGGGTTAGATCTCCGACATAGAAGTCACGGTTCTTCATTCTTGGCAACAACTTCCGTTTCTCCTCATTTTGTTCCAGCTTACTTGATCTTAGCCAGCTTCTCAGAACATACAGAGATGCAGCAAGCAGTAAAGCACACAAGGAAACTCCGAATAAATTTACGGGACTGTTGACAATTGCCATAGCAATGTTACCCTCATCCATTGATAGCTAAAGTAACCGCATTTCTGCCTCAAGCAATTCTGAAAGGAATACTCTCCAATAAAGAATCAAAGCTATACAATTAATTCAATAAACACCCTATTCTTTTTTCCTTTGTAAATCAGAAGGTCAGAAATTATCATGGCAACTGAAGTTCCTACACTAGTCCTTCATCAAAGTTCATCCAGACAAAAAAAAACATTTAATTTCACAAACACAGAGAAGAAGCGGAGCTTCGCACCATTTGCGACACAAAAATGAATGACTATGATTACCAGCAAATGAAAAAAATGAAGTTATAAAAATGGCAGAGGACAAAAAATCCTGAAACAAAATAACCCGCTTTATTAGAAACTTTACAAAAAGCTTTCAAAGTGCTTAAAAGAAACCGAATCTTTCTTCGGGACCTAAGCTGACAAAAATTAGCAGACAGGAAAGTCTAAAATATTCAAAAATTTCAAGTTTCCGCGAATACTGTTCCGGACGGAAATCGAACTTCTGGGATGTGTCATCTCAAGGATTGGTGTTACCAAGTCACAGTTGAACACTCCTTGAATTTAAAAAGAAAACAACTTTAATGAACCGCATGAAAAAAAAAAGTAAAAAAAATAGCAAAAACAATAGGCGAAATTACTTGAACTCAATTAGAGGCTCAAAACGAAAATATGCTGAAATTTTTCTTATTTGAACAAAAAATGCCCCAATTTGAGGTAAATTTGGTGCTAAGGCAACTAAGCCGATTAAAAAAGCAAACAAACAGAAGTCCGACAAAGATTTTTAAACACGCGGACAATTTTCCTTACACAATAAAACAGGTCCTGGCCGGATTCCAACCATTGACCTGTGTATTTATATGCAGGTGCGTTACCTCTTCACCATATGCGCGAATTAACGCACGACCTTTGATTTGATATGAACCAATCAGTGCCGTGCGCGGACAACTTTCTTTGGAAGGGGGAGGGATCGTTGAAAAAAAATATGCGGACCTTTTTCTAGGACAATCAATTTTGATTTCCGAGCTCTCCGAAAATACTAATAGGACCCTATTTTGAAGAAAACGTTCTGCACTGTAGGCAAATTTTTCAAAAAACAGGCCAAAAAAGGCAATTTTTGACTAAAAAAATTTCAGCGCTCTCCCCCCTCAAAACAAAGAATTTTTTAGCAAATGGAAATAAATTCCATGAGGCAAGTGTAAATCAATATCAGATTGGTTTTACATAATTTCACAATTCACATAATTAATTAATCATAGAAATCTCAAATTAAGAAAGATATCAGAGTGCAGCTCAAATAAACTTGAAACCTTTCCATGACAGCTTATTATACGTTGTCAGTGTATTCTTCCTTAAATAGAGACAAGTAGTAATGCTTGACCCTTAGTTTAATTTTTCTGTAGGTTAGTACGTCATCAGAGGATAAGTTTTGACGCTTGTTAATCCAAATTGTTTTTTTTCTTTATCGTTTTTTATGGTAATCAGAAGGTCAAAAGTAACATAGTAACCGAGGTTACAGTCAGGAGTCCCTTCATCACGTATTCCAGTCAAAATCCTTGGAACTTTCTAGATATGGAAGTGATAATGATAAAAGAAGATGACAAGTGTTTAAGTCCTTCTCAATTAAAATCGATACCGGTTACGTTTCTTCAATAAGAACACGCAACTCGACACGAGAAAATATAATATACAAGTGTTACAAATGAAAAATTTCGTCGGAAGTAATTTTGTAATTTATTCTTCCGAGTACGCAAGCGACGTTCGCAACCTGTATTGCCAGGGAGATTTGTGACATTCGACCAGTATGGACGAAAATGCAGTTTCGGATTATTAGCAGCTAACCTTCCGAATTGGCAGTTTTGAAGGATTAACGGTGTTATTCGGACGATTGGACAAAGCGTAAAGGCTAGAATATTCTGGTATTTTAAATTTTTTAATAATTTCGAACGATGACGTCATTTTTCTGAGAAACGTCAAAAACGACCATTTTGGAAGAAATCTGAAATAAGATCAGAGATACTATTGTTGCGACGGAGACAACAACGATAATCGCGATAAAAAACAATGACGAGAATTGAACGAATAGCAGAGTTAGCAGAGACCGCTCCGAGTTGCAACGATTGTGTCGCTACAATCGTTGCAAGGCCATTCACAACAACGGTGAAGAGTAGAAACCAGCCTTCCGGAGAGGAAATAAGGGTGTTATTCCCCCGGATTCAGGAAACCGGAGGGGTCTCGGGACTTGGACTTATATCATTTTATACAATTTTTTAGCTTCCCTATGTCCTGAATTGAATTTATTTAACATCTGAATTCTGTTTCTGACGAGGAGAAGCTAGGAGTTAAGGGAAATGTAACATTCGCCCAAATACTACACAGCGACGGAGCGTAGAAAAAGTACCTATTAACGACTGGCAGGCATCAGTTACCTTAATTCCACTCGTTTTTCACCGTCTCGACCTTGCCAGTTGATTTTCTGGTCTGTTTAGGGCTAAGTAAAAAGTTTCTTTAATCCGTTCGACCCAGAAATTGAGCACTATGACTTGCTCATAGTCGAAGTACGCTTCCCTGGCTTCTTCATTCACGAAGGGATTATACGCCATCATCGGTATGCCAGACACATATTGGAACGACTTCAGTTTCCCTAGTGTTGCAAAGTCTTTTTGTCCCCTGACCGTTTCAATCAACTCCCGGCTCACTTTCAATTCTTTGTTGGAATACCTTCTCACTTCTTCGAACTTGCGATAGCTCTCCATGTCATTCGACTCCCTATTTGGTACAATCAACGGCATATCCTGATATAGTTCCAGTAGTGCCCTAAGGAAGTTTCTTTCGCAATCAACTCCCTTTTGCCGAATGATCTTTATGCATTCTCCCAAAACAGGAGTGGGGATACGATCCACCACGAACCTGACAAAGCAAAGGGAATCCTTACGCTTAGCCCATTCTATCGCGGAATCGTCTTTTGAAATCAACGCTCGCAGGGCTTCCATCAACTCCAGCTCCTGTTCCTTTGATTTCAAATCATTACTGGCTTCATATTCCGCCTTCTTGATGCCCATCAAGCACCAAGCCAACCGTACTTGCAGGTCAGTTCTCGTGCACGGATGAGCCAGGTACGCTGCCACCGTCGCAGGTGCATACATCGTCTCGTCGAAGTATCTTTGGAGGGCCTTCCTCCAAGAGGTTTCCAGTAGTTTTTCAGCCCGATTTCGTTCGCTTCCGAGGACATTACCGTGCCGTATTTCTTCCGATTTAAGTTAGAATTCTCCGTAAGCCCTTTCAGATATTCCTGCATGGCTCGTTTCTCGCTCCAAGCCATCAGGTGTCCTCTCGCGTAGTTTCTCGCCTTCAACATCTCCACATAACCCCCTGCTGGATCTCCCATGTGGACCGATTCCGGCACAGTGACTCGACAGTACTCGACCACGTCGAGTTGTCCCTCCAGTTTCATCCGGGCCATGTTGGTTCGCGAGGGCCTGTAATCTTCAAGTCCTCCAGATCCACACTGAGATGATCTCCATTTCTAGCTTAGTGTCTGCTAGGGTTCGTGCAGTCTTCTTTGACTTTGTGGCTGTCGTGGTCAGACCTGCCAAGAGCATAGGGGGTATCAGGTTCTCTTTTTCTCCCCCGGCCAACGTCGCACCATCTCCTTACCGGCTCTCGCCTGAACGACCTGCGCTCGTCAAAGAGGCCACCACTGCGCTGGCTTTTGACTTCACCACCCTCTGGTTCACGGCTCGACTTCCTGTCTTCCCTTTCAGCCGCTTCAGCCCCTTTCTGGCTCGTCTAACGGGTAATTTCTTCGTGACCTGCTGATCATCGGCACTGTCCTCTGTAATTGACTCGGTCAGAACATCAGACTCCATGGAGTTCATTATTTTCTCCAGGACCTCAAGCATAATGGGTTGGTTCAATCCCACCTTCATTATGGACTGCGTCCCATATCGTCGTATCACGTCCCATGACCTTTCCATGAAGTTCACTCGGCTCCAGGTTGCCCCTGTCTTATTTTCTAGTTCACTTTGGTATCTCTCCCATTCCTCTTCCGGCAGCGTACTCAGGAAGGATACCCTCATTGACTCTTCAATCTTTCTCCTCCTTGGTGACTCATGGAGCATACTTTGTGGATCCCTATTTCGGCACTCTCTCGCCTGACTTATTGGGTCCATCGGGGATAAGTCGGCCGACGCCTCTTTTGTAGGGGACATGAAAGATGATGTCGTCATCAGAAACAGACTCCCATCGACTTCCCCGTCGTCGTCTTCACTAAACCGGTAATCCAGCAAGTCTCTTTCTAACGCTCCTAGATCCGTCTCACCCGGCTTTTCTGTCTTTCCCCCGATGTCTTCATCGTCCTGATCCATCAACTCATCGTCATCCGCATCAGGTTTCGGCTTAGGTCCTGAAGGGCCTTGTCGTGTGTCTATGCCCGAGTCCGGCCGCGCCGGTACGGTCATGTCTCCTGCGTGATAAAACAATTCATCGTTCACCAGGAATTCTACGGACTCCTCTCCATGTGGTGCCAGGTCCTCTATCGTCATGTATGAGCCTCCTCTGCGCTCCTTTGCCACTTCCAGCATCACTACTTTCACTTCTCCTGACCACTTCAGTCTTGATAAGTCATCTGGGGGAGCATACACCTCGTTCCACATTTCAGCCGAGACCTCTGGTCTCCTGGAAGGTAGTGCTTTGATCTTTTCCTGCGCCAAGCATCAGAAAATGTGAAGTCAAACGTGTGCGCGGCTGCAACGTTCCAACTGATGAACCGCGGCTCCATCCCTTCACTCCACTTCAGCATTCTTTTCTCTGCATCACGAGCCGCTCCGATGCGAGGGGCAATGACGGGAGATGTGACTCCCAACAACATCCTCCTTATCGGTGGATATCGAGGGCATGGGTCCGGCAGCGGCCTGGACCCAGAAAGCCACGCTTGCTGGTTCTCTTTCACGTGTGCGTAGGCTTCTGGCAAGAGTGGGACTCTCATTGCCGCTCCTGACTCTTTCACTACTGGTCTCAGATATCAGAGCTTCGGGTTAAACTG